GTGCCTCTTTCCACGATCTAATACCAATTGTAATATCAATGTGTACACTTTAGAAGTTTTCTCAACGTGCTTTCCAACTCATTAGCTCTCTAGTTGTCAAAATAAATATTTCAGTCAGTCCATCTCTGAGAAAAGTTATTTTTGTACATTCTTAGATGTTTTAGATATATTTATAATATATATCATATTACATATTTATATCTATTATATATAAATGAAATCAGCTAAGCACATTTAAGTTTGTCCCAGTGATTACTTCCATCTTATATCTCTGTGAATTGTAAATATTTCACTTAATTCTAATGCTACTGATTAAATGGACAAAACATTAGAAAAATACCAAATAAAAAAAATCTTTGCTACGTTAAAGCTCAACACCTCCACTGCTGGCTCGCTCCATGACCGGCATTCACGGTGTGTGCATTTGTTATGCTTGTTTTTATGGATGAGCATGAAAAGAAGCCATAAATTCAGGGAGGTTACCTTCACAAAAATGAAAAGCTTTACAAAAATGTGCTTCCTCATTATTCAAATATCACTCCTGGGTGTGAGCATGTAAGTACCCCCTGGCGAGGGGGACGGTGCCGTCACAGAACCAACACTGCTGGAACCTGCCCTCCGCTCCTCCCCCCAGGGACGCCCTGCTCTTGGCTTTACAGTTGAGGAATCAGAGTCTGTTTCAGGGGAAAAAAAGCCTCTTAATGAACAAAATGGCTGAGAAAAGAAAAAGACACGCGTGATCATGGCCACAGCAAGACAAACGACTACGAGTTCACCGCACAAGCGTCAGCACCGGGCCCCTGCTCACCGTTGCCTGGGCCCGGCCTCCCTGTGCCGCCTTCCGGGGCCACCGGGAAAGTGGGCAGTGGTGCACGATCAACTCGCTCTACTTTTGATCATCCCTTACTTTCTCCAAGAGTAAAATTCAAGCTATGAGTTCTTTTTCCCAAAAATATATGTGTCTTTTAATTAATTACCTGTGTAGAAGAATAACTATAACTCTTTGGACAAGTGCAGAGTATAGGACTTGAACACACTCTCTGTTGGAGATGAGATAGCTTACTGCTTTTTAAAAGCACAAAGCAAATACAGTACCTTTGACTTTTGTGAAAACAGATGAAACAAAGCAGCTCAAAGAAAGGGTGACTAGGCACTCAAACTGTAATAAAAACCTAGGGTCTCACAGTACTGCTCCCACTCACTCCACAGAAGTGTACAGTAAATACGGAGCTGTGGCCGCACATCTGAGGAGAGGAAAGGATTACACACAGACAGCTCACTCCACATATTCGTAGAGCCAATACCCACAGGAGAAGTAGAAATACTGGCCTAAGTGCTTGCCAGTAGTTTATAAGCAAGCATTTATTTTCACTCCAAATTTATAAACCCCATTGAGCATGACAACCCTATACATGAAAGCTGCCTTCTGATTCACAAATATTATTGTTATTCACGCACATCATTTAATCAACCCATACAATGGTTATCAGAACTTCTCATAGCATGTGTTAAAAAACAGAACAGCGTTGTCTTCATTTCTTGTTGCTGTTCAAAAAAAACAAACTCACTCTTCCTCTCTCCTTCCCTTCCCCTCTAAAAGATAAATAAATAAAATCTTAAAAAAAAACACACACACACATCGCTCATAAAGAAAGAAGGGTACAGAAGGACGTCAGCTTGCTATTGACAGAGTTCGTCAAAGTGCCTAGAAATGAATCAAATTCACAAATGCTGACGAAAAGGCTTTCATAGGTGAAGTGGCTACAAAATAAGACACGCCCTCTAGCTTTTAAAGAGGCAGAAAAAATTACTAGAGAAGCCTCTCAAGGCAGATTGTAAGTACAGCCAAGTACAATGAAGATTTACAACAGGGACAGAGAATACTTGGTAAGGGGTTGGGGAAGGACAGGCTCAGGGAAATACCGGTCTCCCTGTCATGATCCCATTTTTAAAAAGATTATTTTAACTTGTAATATATATAGAAACACACAAAAGCAAAAGAAAAACTGACACAAAATGTCACCGCTTTCCTTCCCCTCCCTCAGCAAGTCTACTCTCCAGAAATACATTGTATTAACATTTTGGTATCTGGTTTTCAATTTTTTAATACTAGATACATATGTTTAAAGTATCATAGAATGTAGGTTGTTTAAAATGGGAAAAATACACATTGCATAACTTGTTTCATTTACTATCTTGATACCTTCTCAGTGTGCTACAAGGAAGAGAAAAGGCTGACAGGGGAGCTCCCCTTCCAGATGCCCACGGCAACGCAGCCCTAACTGGACATTCTTACAAGCCCTCCGGTGGAACTGCTCAGCAGGAAGATAACTGAGAAACATCTTGTTTAAAGACATATTTACAAGGTTACCTGGGTCTGTCTACATCTGCAGTTAAATGCAGTAGCCACTAGACACACTGGCTATTTAAATTTAAATTAATTCAATTGAAAGTTCAGCTCCCAATCATAATGGCCACACTCCAAGTGCTCACCACTGCAGTTACATGAGGCCAGCGACCGCTGCACTGCGCATCGAGGACACAGAATATCCCTGTCTTTGTAGAAAGTGCTGTGGGACGACATTCACAGTACAGAAACCTGGCATTTGAACTTCATTTAGGCAGAGAGAGGAAGTCAGTCACCAAGACTCTATGGGTGACTACTGGAGAATAAAAGTTAAGGACACACAAGCTACATGGTTGGTACTTGTCATTCTGAACACAGACTATCACTGGGTATTAAAAAGGGACACCTGAGAGCAGAGGAACACAACCCCCAGCAACCGTGAGCTGGGTGGCTGCTTACAGCTTGCATCCTTCACTCATAATTAGCTAATTTGGCTAACTTTACTAATAATGCATGTTCGTTTCGTATGGCATGAGTCATAATCCTGTGATGTACCTCAGGTTAAGATATATCATTCCAGAATAGTATTCTATTTAATGCACTTAAATCATATGGATGTACTATAATTTATTGAATCTTAAATCTATTAATAGACCTTTAGGCTGCTTCAAATATTATGCTTTCACAAACACTGCTGCAATGAATGTTCACGTGCAATCTTTTATACATTCATCTGTCATTCTGGAAGTGGTTTTGCTGAGTCATAAGGTTATGGACACTTGTAATTTTAATAGATACTGCAAATTACCTTTCTAAAGAGCTGTACCAGTGTATTCTCCCTCAAATTGTATAGTGAAAACCCTTTTATCCATACTATTTCCATGACTGGGTATTACCTGTCTTACTAATTTTTGCCAATATGATGGTTTTTACTTGCTTTTCCTTCATTATCAGTGAGGCCAAGGATCTATTGTACATTAATTAGCTATCTGAAGATAACTGTTTTTTCATAGTCTTTTTGTACACTTGCCGCTTCATTTATTAATATGTATAGGGTGGTTGGTCTTCTGTTGATTGATTCACAGGAGGGGCTGGTTTCACTGGTGTTTGTGTTGATATGCTGCAATGCCCGACCGCCTCGCCTCACGGTGCCCTCCTCACTGTTCCTGCCTTCTACCATGGGTTAAGACGTCTTTTGCTATCCGTTCAGTTTTTATGTAATTAAATCTGTTGGTCTTTTTTAAAAAGACTTCTGGGTTTTCAGCCTTTCTTAAAAAGTGGTTTCCCATTCTAAGCTTCTAAATACAACCTTCTACATTTTCTTTTAAACTTCTAGTATTTTCCTTTTTACAAATAAAATTGTAGTGTATCTGAAATTTATTTTTGTATATGGTAAGAGAAAAAAACACCAACTTAATTTTCTTACAAGTAGGTAGTCAATTGTTTCAGTATCGTTTAGGGGGAAAACTATCTTTTCTGCATTGATTTGAAATGTCACATTTATCACGTGTTAATATCTTATAAATATTTTCATTCTGTTTATGGACTATCCACTGTGTTTCAATCAGCAACCTACCTACATTATTCTAACTTCTAGATGACAAAAAGTACATGGACTTGAGGAAACTCAGGAAACTGACTCTAATAAAAGGTCTATATTTTCATCAACCAAGGCCATTTTTGATTGGCAAAAATGTATCGGGGTTTACAATGTGTTTCTCCATCTGCTACTGTTACCAGCTTCGCTCTGCCCTCCTGCACAGAGCATGGCATTAGGTGCATGGCAGAACACCGACTGAGTGTTCTGAGTGCTATTTGCTGAGTATGTGACTATGCAATAGTGAATTTAGTTTACTCAGATGAAAGTATATAAATTAAAGTAATCACTGGATTAGTGTGAACTTTCAGCTTTCCAGAAATAAATCCTAGAAAGAGGAAATGATAGCTTATATTACTGAAAAAATACACCTTCACAAAAGCTATTGAAATAGTATCTCTCCCCCAAAATAATGTTGCAGTGCATTGGATGGGCCCCTGGGGCTGCTGGCCACTCCCCTCTCCTACTCCCTAAGGCAGCTATTGCGTACTTCCCACTGTCTCCTCAAACCTCCAAAAGCCCCTCCCCACCGGAAGCAAACCCAGCTTCCTGCCACACTGACTGGCCTCTGCCCTCCCTCCTATTAGAATAAATGCTCCTAGTTAGGACAAACCTTCCCACCTTACTTGCTTAAGAGCTTTCCATCACCTCTCTTTCCTCTCTTCTAGATCATTTTCATTACCACACAAACTGCATCTCTCTTCATCTTTAAAAAGAACTTGTCATTATACCCCATATCCCTTTCCCCTCCACAGCAAAATTCCTTGGGAAAAAAATGCTGACGCTAGCTATGCTTTCTTCCTCTCTATCTTTCATTCTCGAACCTGCTCCACTCAGTTTTTTGTGAGCTCTATGAGACCATGGGTTTTATTAATCCACTTTTTTATCCTCAGAACCTAGAACAGTGCCTGAAAACATAGTAGGTATGCAATAAGTAGTTACTGAAGAAATGAATAAACAAAGAAATGTATATATAGTTTGACTAGGAATGTGGCTTAATGATCCTAACTTAAGACATTATCTAAAAGGGAAAACTTGTTTTGGGGCATTACTCACTTTTCGCTGTCTTACAGAGTCCAATTTTATGAGCCAATATGAAGCCACTTTTGTTTTATGATGCTTCCAGTTACCAATGATCTGTTGTGGGGGAGAAACATTAAGAAATATAACCTAGAATTTTCCTCAAAAGTAATGAGCAAGAGTAAATAAATGAGTTGAAACCAACTTTAGGTAATGAAATGAAAGCACTATAATATTACTTGCAATAAAGAATGTCTACTTCCATAAAAAGACATGTGCAAATATTTCTAACATAAGATTAGGAAGCCATCTGAACCCAAAGCTTTAGCTTCTTGGTGTAAAAAGTACACAATCCCTAGTGAATAAAAGTCAAATGTGTCAGGCACATAAGGTTTGCAAAGAAGCCCAAGACACAGATTTTCCATTTTAATTCCAAAATCTGTATTTACCACAACACCCATAATAGCAGAATATTGAATAATACAGTAGAAGGTAGCCAATCTATATCATGTCTTTGTTCTTGTCAAATCTGCAAAATTTATTAATATATATTCTAGTAATATATACTGTAGCAAACAGATTAAAATATTTATTGCATATAGTGAATATATAGTAAACAATCTAATAACTGATATATTTTAATTAACTATATAAGTCTGTATGTTTTTATAGAGTTAGCCACAAATATTAGTTCCACTCTCCAATTATCAAATTTTTCTCCTACCTGATTCAAAAGGTGGTGCCATACGAATATCGCTAAAAAACATAAGTAAAATGTCTGGTACAAAGTTATTGGCTATGTTTAGAAAATATCTTGATTAAATAAGACAATGGAGATAAATCTAGTACAGTGCATTACAACTAATGTTCATTTTTTTCCTTTCCTTTGATATAACAAACACCAGGTCATATGTAAAAAGATGCTCTTTTCACTTTTTAAAAAAGTACATAATAACACAATGCACAACATTCGGGAGCTTTAACCAAAGCAACTATTTTGGAACTATGTCATGATTGCAAAATAAAAATTGCCACTATTATTTTTTAAATTAAGAAAGTCATTTTATTATTATTCATTTGGTCTCTTACTAGACAGTTGCTGTAGACAAAAATAATCCTAAAAAGGAAAGAGAGGCAAGTGCATAGCTGTGGTTTTTATCCTACAACTGGCCACAAGATGGTGCCTTCTCCTCCAGAAAAAAATAATACTAAGGAAACCAGAAAACAAAGTTTTATTACCGAGGAACTATCTAGGAATGACAACTGGAAAAGGATATTTGAATAAAGAGACAGAACTTTAAATTAAGAAATGTTCTTTCACCAGAAATATTTAGATAACTTGTTCCTTCTTTCTAATTAGAAAAAGTCATTGACTTTAAGGTGAATGAACTCTGCCATTTTCTAATGTTCCACTGGGTGGCGCAAATGTGTGTGCAACAACAATACACCGCACAAGCCTTTTCAAAATTTGACCAAAACCACTCAGGAAGCCACATCTCATTCCATATGAGGCCTTTCTAAATCTTGATAGAAGCAACCTTCTTTAATCCTTAAGGACAACAACTCAATAAAATGAATTTTCACTTGAAGCAGTTGCATCATTCAAATGGAGCAATGCACTGAAAGATATTTTGCATTGCCAATTATAAATGTGATCTCACTGCTCATGAATCATAACAATTAAAATAGCTGCTTATCTTCTAAAGCTTGTGGAGGTTGAAAAGAACATCAATTAAGTTTACTAATGTCACTGAGAATAATGCCATTGGGAAATAAACTTTAATATTCTAAGAAGAGTAAAAGAGATGAGCTCCTTGGAATTTTATATACTGATACATCAAATACTCACATCTTCTACCAGAATTAATGTTTCTGCATCTGACTTTCCTGGAAACCGGATCTTCATGTCCTTGAGAACAAACAAGGTCTGACTCGTTAGATCGTCTTCTTGCTCTTTCGTTCTCAGGCGCCGCAAAGACCTGCTCTTGAATTTGAAAGAATACAGATATTTGGAGGGGGTCTTATTTCATTGCGACACTATAGTCTGAAAGACATTTCTAGGTGAAAATAGTGCACTTTTAGTTGGCAGGGGGAAACAATGAAAAAGGAAGAAAAAAATTTCCATGTATTCTTAGAATTGAATTCTTAGAAATAAATGGCTATGATTTGCCAAGACTGCCTTTCCCACTTCCGTACAGTTGTATTTTAGTTAGCTCACAACACTAAAAAACAAAAGAGATGAGTAGATAAAAAAGACTTTCTGGTCAAAAGTTTCACCTGCCACACATACCTTAGGCAATTTTGTTTTTTCATATTTAGAGACAGGAGAAAGGAGGAAGAAAGAGAGGGAGAGAAACATCGATGTGAGAAACATCATTCACAGTGATCAGTTGCCTCTCGTGTGTCCCCAATCAGTGACAGAATCCACAACCCAAGCATGTGCCCCAACTGAGAATCAAACTAGTGACCTTGGCTTTGAAAGACAATGCCAACCAACTAAGCCACACTGGTCAGGGCTCCTTAGGCAATGATTAGGAAAAAAAATTGTTAACATGTGATACTCATTTATTTATATTTTTCAGACTCTTCAATTTGGGAACATCACCCACATTGTATAAACAATTTTAAATAAATTCCTGGTCTTTGTGAAGGCACTTGGAGTTATCTATTTCACTGTCTACAAGTAAGTCAGAGAGCAAAATAAATTCACTGACTTCCTCAAAACTGAATCTCTAGGATTCATAGTAAAGAGGGAATATGTTAATTTAATACACAGAAAACATAATGCTGTATTTCAGTACTCCAAGAATGATTTATCAATGGTTTCTTTTTAATGTATTAACCAAGAGTTCCAAGAAAGAAAATTTTCCATATAACAAATTTCCCCAAATTTACAAATATACCGTACAATATACTGCAAAATCACATATTTCCTCTAATGATCTTCAACAGCCTTATCCTCCTCCATAAGAAAATGGAATATAAAATGCTATTCTCAGTGTCCATCCTAGAGTCTGTAATAGACTGGTCTGCCTTCTAAGAGTTCCTACTAAATTATAGGCTAAGATCAATGGCACAACCCAAACTCCAGGAGTTCGTGAGCTGAATGATGGAAAGGACCTGAGGTTCAATCTCTCTTCCTCCCAGCTGATCCCTTTGCCACCTAAATCCTCAGTAGTTTTTTCTGTAACCTCACAAAGAGCAAAGTAGATGACTTACCATCTGAGAGTTGACAGAGCTGGCATCATTACTTTGTGGCACATGCCTCATGTAGGAGGCACGGTTTAAGGAATGTGACCGAGAGGCTGAAGTTGGCCGGGATGCTGGCATCGTTTGTTGAGCAGAAAGGGGCCGGATATCTGCACTAGAAGGTGACTGAGAAGAGATGGACCGAGGGCAACTGAATGAACGCCTTATGGAGCCTATCAGTGGTGGAGAAGAGGGACAGTTAATAGAAGTTTCCCATTGTATTTGGTCTACACAAACTAACAGACCACATGGTAGAAGCATGACGATAAATGTGAATGTGGTGCAGAACCCCTGTCATGTATGAAGAATGGCTATCATGAGAATAACATTAACAATGCTTTAATTTTCTGTTCTCAAAACATGACATAGAAGAACCAGAAGAGAGGAAAACTAATGCTTATGAAGCAACTTCCACAAGCCAGGCATCCTGCTAGGGGCCACATACACTTAGATCTTAATCCTTCTCATAGAAACCCTCTGAGTGGGACTCTCCATCACCTGGAAGCTCAGAAAAAGAACTTTCTCAGGGTCACATGACAAGAGAGTGTGCCAAGCTCCGGTTTTAATCCTGCGCTATATTAATGCCAGTATTTCCCTCTTCCTAGAAAAAGCTATCCACTATCCTTGAGTTAGACTGGTCATTCATTAGATTCTGTACATCGGTTAGAAATAATATTTTCCAGCAAGAGCCACAGGAAGGGGTGGACAGCAGTCTAGAGAATGGCCATGAAAAACAGACGAGCTATAGACTTTGAGGCTCTTGAAGGAAAAAAAAAAAACAGAAGAAAAGCATAAAGATTATCTTAATGGAGTGTAGTAGACCGCTCTGCCTGATTTTAAAAATTCTATCTCTACCCCTTGTGGCTAAGGGTGAGGGACGCCCTTTGGAATGCCAGCCACAGGAGACAAAGCCTGTCTCTGGTAGCAAACGCTGCCTCAGTTCCTTTCCCTGCCCCCAGAGCTTGGTCGGAAGTCAATGACGGGTAAGACCCTTCACAGGGGGGGCAACCTAAGCCAGACTCGATCACCTGGGAGGCCTTCATGGAAGGATTCGGGGGCTGCAACAAAGAGCAATAGACTCTCGCCCCCCGGCTTTGACAAAGCCCGAGTCCCCATGTCCTCTGGGAGAAGCACTTCCTGGCTCTAATCCCCTTAAGCCTGAATACCTGATGGGGAGAGGTGCAGCTCCTTGCCTGGCCAGAGTGGTGCCCTGGGGGAAAATCTGGCATCACAAAGACTTGCTGATTAACCTGTGAAATCTGCTCTGCTAAAAGTGCTTTCATTCATATGATAAGGGTCCAAGAGGAAATGAGTGTCTCCCAAAGTTTCTGCAACTCTCTTCCTGACAGACACTGACTCAGATCTCTTTGTAATGTTATCTACTGTTTGATCCTTGCCGCCCTGTATTCCTGTGTATTACAACCCAATAGAAGGCTACGGAGAAAGGTACTCGAGAGCTTTTTCTCCTTGGAGAAACTGACCGCTGCTGGCCTTTGTCTCCCCTGAGAAACTGGTCACAGCCCACTCCTCCATCTCCAAACAGATCTCATCTTGTCTCAGCCATATTTACTCATTCACGCGTGTCCGTGGCATGGGGACCTCACGGAGAGGTCGCCTCCACAGTGGAGTTTAAATATATAATTATTACAGGAGTGGTACTAAACAGCCTTCTTATTCACATGACAGACAGAATGTAAATTCCCCCAGCGAAAGGTTTAAGTGAAGAAAATGAATCTGGAACTAAAGGGTCGTTAACAGAACAAACAAGTAGGGAACACTATAGAGTATCTTCCCCAATGTATATTAGGAAAATTTTAAAGAGATAACCTACTGTCCCTGGGAAATTTGATTTCTGACACAGGAAAACAGAACATCGTTCAACATTATCAATAATTTACATACATATTTTAGTTCATATATTTTATATACCTTCTATTCTATATATTCTCTTTGCTTTGGAAATATATCAATCTTCATTGGTTAAATAATTTAATAAAACTCACATAAAGGCAGGTTGAATAGTCAAATATTTCTCTTCATTAGCTGTTGAAAAAAATTTAAACCTTTTTAAAGGCAGTGAGATATATAAACCTTATATTTAGGGACATACTTCTAAGTGATATTTTGAATAGATGATAAGCCTAATATTCCTCACTTGGTTCTAAAGAATACAAAAAAAGTATACTCAGGCAAGCTATAACATATGTTTAAAAAACATTTCCATTTGTTCAAACTAGTCACTTTCATCTCAACCTGAAAATCACAAACACGGTGCTTCGAGAGAAGGGCTCTGCAGGGAGCACAGCACTGGCCAGTCCTCTGCTAGGCCAGTACCCGCAAAGCGTGTGCTACAACCTGTACCTGGGTCTCTCTTTTAAGGCTTAGGGTGTTGGTTTAGACATTTATCACATGATCATAGGTACAGAAGGAAAATACCCTTTCTCCTGAATGACCAAAAGATTCGCATTTTTCCCCTGCATACAATGAAAATTCAGACAGAGTAATTAAGTAGTTAGACATGCCAATGATACTCGGATCAATGAGCAAAATATAGTCATAACTTGAATACAAAAATTATGTGGAAAATTTCACAGTTTTACATACGCCTACCTTGTATCAAACCAAAATACATTCTTCAAAACTATAACAACACGTGTGAATTTCCTAGGTTAATAACTATCTGAAACAGAAAGTGTTACACGTAATCTGGACTTTGTCCTTGGTCGTTGTCATCATTTTGAACAGAAAATTCAGGGAGGGTTTGAGGCTATGCTAGTACTTAGTGTAGGTGAGAATATAAAACCAAAGTGAGAGTCTTACTGCAATTTCTAATGACTCAAATAAAATATTTAGGAAAAAAGATATGGAATTGAATTAGAGTAGCTTTAGTACACCATTTGTTCCATCTTGGTTTATTCACTTATTGGTCTACGAACAAAGAACAATCTCGGAGCCACAGAAACCCGAGCAGAGTGTCTTTGCCCTGCCCTGAGGGGTGTGCACCTTAGCCAACAGGGGTTAAAAAATCTGACAGTCTGGGCAGAACAAGGTCAGCTTCCAAAAGAGGGACAGAGTCACACTTACACAGGCACAGTGAAAGTACTTAAGACGTCTTGGAAAAAAAAAGAAGACACTGATAAAATAGCTACAAAATCTGGAATGGGTGGTCAATAAAGATACCTTAAATGAGTAAATAAATAAATAAAATGGAACATAATACATTCTTTTCCCTCCAAACACATAAACCCTCAAACACAGGATCACTAGCAGGCATCTTCGTGGGGTAATTTAGAAGTCAATGAAAAACCATTAAATCTTCATCTATTAGCTCTGTATTCCTCATGCATCTTGCCACAAATACGGAATGCCAGGTTTAACATACACACGCTATCAGGGAAGCTAACATATGAAGCCAGTTCTGGAGACCCACAAAGGCTCGCCATTGTGTTTACCATACAAATGAACCGTCCCTTTAGTGGGGGCCCTGGGATAACAAAGGGCAGGCAAACAGGGAAATGAGAGACAGGACTCAGGAGTGAGTTCTGCACTGGAGGCAGTGTTGGGGGGGGACCTGGAGCCTGGGCAAAGAGTGATGCTGGACACCTGGGGTGGAAAGAATGATGGATACAAGAGTGCACATTAGGGATCAAAGAAGGAATAAAAGGAGAATGGAAGAGAAAATGTGGAAAGCAAAAAAGGAAGCTAAAAAAGGAGGAGACAAAGAAGCTGGCTGGTTATTCTCCTAAACACACCCAAAGCTCTGACTTTAGTACTGTCCACGATAAAAGTGAGAGGAAACAAAACTATTTCACAACTGTAGGACCCGCAGATACACTCAAGTCAAATACCTAGACACAAACACATTTTTAAAAGGGGAAGAACACACAACAAAATGGGTGACAGAGAGGTAGGGAAAGCAGGAAAGGGAATGCGAGAATATATTGGCTTAAGAAAGAAGGCCATCAGCACAAGGGCCATGAGTCACCTTTTATAAACCCCTGCAAAAGTCTAGGGCTTGCCCTGATGGTTGGCTCAGTTGGTTGGAGCATCATCCCGTACACCAAGGTTGATTCCCGGTTAGGACACACGGCTAGGTTGTGGGTTTGATCCCAGGCTGGGACATGTGGGGAGGGCAACCGATCAGTGTTTCTCTCTCTTTCCCTTCCTCACTCGAAAATCAGTAAACATATTCTCAGGGGAGAATTTAAGAAAAAGTCTAGAGCTTCATGGAAACTATGAAATATAGAAGAATGGACTATAGAGATCCTTAGGTCAACCCCTTACATTCTCCTTGCAGACCTTTAGGGGATTGTGGGAAGTGCCCGGGTCAGGGAGGGAAGGACATGGGACAGCATCCAGGTGCCCTCACACATGACAAGAGTTCATTTGGCCCAAGGTCCTTTATTGGGTTCCATAACTTCAGTTCCATATTTCTTCACATAACAGCTAACTGAGAAGAAATTAACTTACTGGATGGTTGAATTAATTTGTAGTGGTTGGACTGTTTAAGATTATAAGTAACTTGCTTTTCTTGTTTCTTATGTTGGTACTCTTCTTTTTCATTTTCTTCTGAATCAGAGGAGCTGCTGCTGCTGTCGTAACTGCTGTCGCTACTCCAGTACTTCTGTCTTTTCATTATCTCCGTGCTCTCGGGCATGGAACACAGAGGCTAAAATACAGGAAAATGTGTTATTTTGTCTGAATTCCAAAAAAAGAGTCTTATTAACATGATTAGTTACTACTTTCAATGTCCCGCTTATGCAAACTGCTTTCACTGAAATTTGAAAATGCCCCGAGTGCCACTGTCCCGGTGCTGCTCCTGGCCCCCAGTGCAACCCACTCATTTTTCTGTTCCTGCCAAATATCCTTTCTTAAATGATGTAGTTCAGTCACAATGAGGAAAAAACTCCCCGCAGCTGTACACAAGTTTCTTGTTCTCTGTGAAATCAAACAAAAATGTTTTGATATTAATATACACAACAGTGAAATCCTCGGTCACCAGGGGATTTCCCTGAAATGGGGTCTGTCCTCTCACAACAGTGCAGGGTGAAAGCCAACGAGAGGAATGGCATTTCATGAAGGACCTGGCATACACAATAAGCCAAAGAATGATCGTCTTATAGTTATGGGCTTAGCAAAGGACAAAAATAAATAAATAATAACTGAAGGAGGAAAGTAAATACACCATGATAACAATTTGTGTTTAAAAGTATGTTTTCCTTTTGATAGTGTAATATTTACTGAGCACTAATGATGTTCAAGGAGCTACGCATAAGAACAGCTACCAGTAACACAATCACCAAACATCTTGACAATGTTGAGGAATGTGAATTCTGGAGGGAGGATGATCCTTCAGAACCTGGAGTACCCGCAGAAACAGCGGCGCACTCAGGCTTGCTAGTAGTGCCTTCCTTCATGTAGGCGGCTGGATTTAGGGCTTTTAAAGGAGCTCGACTACATAATGACTTATCTGACCCTTTAAAGAACTACGAGGGAAAACAAACAGATGTGTCATATATGCGTTTGGAACTTTTTTGACCAATGCACACTATTCAAGCAATAATTAATAAGTCACAGCAGCATAAATTCTAAACAATGCCTCAACTACAAAATGAAATCTGCACATTGGCATTGGGTGATGACACAGACCTACTACTTGCTTTTATGCCCAATTCTATTTTAACGGGGTCATAAATAAGAAAATATATAAATGGGCTAAGAATAATAAAAAACAAATACCTGTGCACCTAGCACTCAGCTGAAAGAAAAAAATGCTAATACTTTTTTGTGGTTTTTATTTTTGCAGCTAATATTTGTTAGGTTCTCAAATAAGTGAAAATTATTTCTCCCAGTACAAGTTTCATTTAACCCTGATTATCTTCAATTATTCTTTATTCTTCTACCGGTAACAACACTGAACGTAAGTGTTTAGAGTGATATCATCACTCTGAAAGAGAAAATCTGTCTGAAGCTTGGCTCACCCCAGACTCTCAGTACACATAAAGTGAAAAGTGTAAAAAAGTTTTTACTTCAGACTGATTATGCAGCTTTCAATTGCTTTGAAATATTACTGGCATTAATAACTACAGGAACTAACCAATTCATTTCAACAAATACATTGTGAATTCCCATCACTTGCCTGAAATATAGGGGTTAGAAATACACAATGTGAATTTTGCCCTCCAGGAGGTCACATTTTATTTGCATGATAAATCTTATTTGATGAAGCAAAGGAAAACATAAGAAAGTACAAGGCCATCTCAGGACATTGTCTTCACCATTCTGCCATGAATATCATGACCCCAGAATGTCTCACATCTGGTTTGCTGAACTGTGATAACCGACATATAAAACTTGGAAACTTCCTAATGTTTTCCAGAGTGAAGCAATGACTCAAGAAGGTATTCACTTTCACATACCCTACAAGATATTTGTTCCAAAGAAATTAGCAATGAAATTTTCTGCAGTTCTTCAACATAACAGATACAATTCAAAAGAACGGTGCCTGACACCCGAGATCTCTGGTCTCCACCGGATACATATCGTTCAATAGGTTCATCATGCATCATTTTCTTCAAGAATCTTCCACTGGAGTCATATCAAATCCTTAATGTTTCTCTAACAACCTATGCAGTGTCACAACTCCATGTCACCGCCTCTAATGTTCCCTCTACCCTGAACATCCTCCCACCCATCTTACATGTTTGTGGCACGACTCATTTCTAAAGACCCAGTTCAAATGGCATTTATGAAGCTATCTACAGTCTACCAATCCCTTCTCCTCTATGCTGCTGTAGTACTTTCCACCCTCTTTATTACAGTGTTTGGCACAATATACCATGGCTTTTGGTTCACTCGTCTGCTCTTCCAGTAGCCAATGAGGCCCTTGTAGACAAATACAACTAATAGTTTCTGAGAACCTATTAAGTTCCAGATGTTGTGCTAGGTATGGCAGATTCAAAGGTAAAAATGTACTTTCTACCCTCAAGGAAATTACCAGCTTGTACTAAGGCAAACAAACATGCAAGCAATTATTTGTCACAACTGCTCTATAAAACTGTTACTTGTGGTACAGCAAGAGGAGGGGAAGGAAGATCTAACAAGGGAAGTAAAGATTTCACAAAGCCAGCAAAGTGCAACTGGATTAGCAGGGGCTCTCTAATCAATCAAGCAATGAATATATGATTTTCTTAAATAGGCAGGGATTCCAGAGGCATGGGAAAGTACCAAAAAAACAGCAGAACACAATGAGTGTAAGGACATGGGCACAGCCTAAAAGACACGGAGAAAAAGTTTCCAAGATTTTGCAAATTCATCCCTTCCCTATTCCTGTAGCAAGGACTTTAACATATAACCAAAGAACATATCAATGTCATCATCACAGAGCAGATGAAGGTAAAGCACCCACCTGCTCGTTTCTGCCTGTGTGACAACCTTCTCTTTATCCTAGGAACTCTGTCTATTTTAACTAACACAATTCCAATGTTGCTGCATCAGCAAAACATGGGGTTCCCGATAACTAGAGTCATGATTTGCCTTATCTATACTGCTGCACTTCTCTGATAACTATGTGTCTAGAGATAAAAGGAAAACTTAATACCAAGTATTAATAAGGGTATTAATTCCAGGTCCCTCTTGGTCCTGTCTAATTAGGATTTCACTAGCATTACAAAAGGAATCCAAAAAGTGAAGGAAACCAGGAAAACAAAAAACAAAACTTCTAAGTGTGAGGTAACCAACTCTACCGGTCCTGCACACAGGGTCCATACAGCTCCTTGAAAGTGGTACCAGCCATTCCCATGGTGATAAATACAAATGGAAAACCATCTGTACTTAACAGCATCTACCTTGATACTAAGAAAGGAAGAGATACAGCACCTTTGGTCCTCGAGGCCTGGCAGTTTTGCCCATCAACTTTTCATCATCGATTTCACATTGCTCCAGAAGATCCAAGATATCTTCCTCCTTAAAAAGATGTTTAATTCAAACTGTGATCACCAATGGACCCTAGAATTTTTCTAAATTGATTAATCTCCAGAAAAGAGTATACAAGGATTCCTAAAACTATTTAATGAAGATTGCTCAGGTTGAATGAATAGTAAAGGGTCATAAAAACTCTTAAAATTTTTTTCTCTAAAATCTGATAATATAAATAATACCTTGCTAAAATCTATTACGTATTATCATAAACAAACATATCTTTATGTTTTAGCATACTGTTAAAATATGAAAGTAAAATAATTTAATAATTAGCTTATTGGACACTTCAAAATTTCTATAAGTCACTCTAATTTTCCAGATCACAATTTCATCAATCATTTCTATATTGATTATTGTAAAGTAATACTGCAACTTCAGACAGAAAATTGATGACTGGCCTAATAGTTAGCAATCTAATATTTGTATTCATTTAATGGGTACAATTTAATGAAACTTTAAAATTTTTAACTACTACACAACAGTATCTTTAGAACTGTATAAAAAGTTTTCAATCTATAGGATTAATACCTTCAACATTCATTTGGGTGTTATGTTTTTGTAACTCACGGAAAAGTTACAAAAACATAACACCCAAAGGAATGCTGAGCAAACCAGAGCAATAGGACTGTAACAGCTACACTGAAAATTGAATAATCAATGGCTCCACTGAGCTATTTATTCAATCTATAAAAAGATCTTATTTTTACTTACATGATTTCTATTTCAGTATGTCTTAAAAAAAGGTTTTTAGAAGAAACTAGAAGCATCATTGTGCAGCAGAAATTCGTAAAGTAAGTTATTCTTCATACCAAAGTTTAGCTATTAAAATACCAAAAGATTTTTTCTATAAAGTTTGATTAAACAATAATTCTACAATGAATTTCAAGGCATAGATAGTTAAAATGAAACACACAAGTTCTGCTTCTGTTTAGGAGAAAGTCAGACAGTATTTTCATCACAACAGCTAGAAAAAGACAGATAAAGTAAATAATTATATTTTTTAAGACATCAGAAAGCTGTGGATAAAAAGTAATACAAAAAAAAACCTAAATACAAGAGAGGGAGAAATTCTTCCTGGGTTGTAAGGGAGGAGTGACCATTTTCTACATTGTGCTCATTAGTCAGGTCTGGACACAGATGGACAAAGATCAGGTCTAGAATAGGCAGAGGGAGTCTGCCAGGATAAAGAACCCAGTGGAGTTTTCTATGGTCGTGCTGGCTAGTATAACACCCAGAGGAGCCGCACAGAGCTGGCTGTTGTCACCTGCAGCTACATCTTTATGACAGCAGTTTGAGTGCATGTGAGGCAACAACGTAGGAGGGTGTAGGCATGGATGGAAAGCCAGAAATATTCCTCTGCAGTGTTACAGTTCTTAGATCACAACAGAGAATGAGGCCTGTAATAAACACTGAACATATTTCACCTTTGAGGCACTTCAAACCAGAGATAAAGTAAAACTACTAAAACTACTAAACCCAGCCTGGACCCAGTTCAACTTTTCTTATTTTAGTTTTACTTTTTAACTGAAATATATTTGACATGTAACACTGTAAATTTAAGGTGTACAGCATATTGATTTGATACATGTATATATTATAATATTGCCCTTGTCGCAATAGTTAACTCCTCTATCATGTTCCATAATGAGCATTTCTTTTTGGGGGTTGGAAAAATTAAGATCTAGTCTCTTAACAAGCTTAATTATTGAAATAAAATATCATTGGCTATATTCACTATGCGGTGTGTTAGATCTCTAGGACTTACTACTAGTTGCAAGTATGTACACTTAAATAACATCTCTCCTACCCCCCACCCCACCACCAAGCCCCTTTTTACTTGAGATTTTAAAATTCCACATATAAGAGAAATTACACAGTATTTATCTTTGTCTGACTGATCTCACTTAGCATAATGTCCTCAAGGTCCATCCATGTTGTCGCAAATGGCAGGATTCCCTCCCTTCTCCTCACAGGACAATATTCCCCGGTAGGTGTATACCACACCATCTACGTCTAATTTGCCCACAGACAGGCACTTTGGTTGCTGTTCCCCACAGTGGCCAGACCGATTTATAGTCCCACCATGAGTGTGCAAGGATTCGCTTTTTCCCACATGTTCCCAATGCTTGTTACTCCGGTCTTTCTGGTAACAGCCATTCTAACAGGTGTAAGGTGACACATCACTGTGGCGCGCAGAGAAGGAAGGGATTTGCACTTCCTTGCTGGTGACTGATGTGGAGGACCTTTCACGTCTGTTGGCCATTTCAATATCTTCTTTGGAAAAATATCTATTCAGTTTCTATGTCCACTTTTTAATAAAGATGGGGATTTTTATTGAGTTATATGAATTCAATATACTCTAGCTATCGACTCCTTATTTTAGGTATGGTTTACAAAAATATTCTTCCATTCTGTAGGTTGCTTTTTCAGTTTTTTTTGGTTTGTTTCTTTTGTTTTGTAGAAGCTTCCAGGTTTGATATAGTTCCACTTTTGACTTTTGTTTTTCTTTAACTTTTCTTTAACTCAAAGTAATTAGCCCTTCACCCTAGCACCCTGTAAGAAGAAAGATATGCCTTCTTTTGTTGAAAATAATATGTTTTTTATGATTCTTTTATAAACAATGTCTGTTAAACAAATAAAAATTATAGGACATTCAAAATATCAAAAAATGTGAACCATAATCAAAAGGAAAAAACAAAAAAGGACCCTAAGTAATCCACACATTAAAATTAACAAAGGAATGGGAGTAAAGACAGAAAACTGTACTTGAACAATAATTAAATAAAAAGTATTTAAAAAAACAAAAAAATTAAATTAAATTGACAAGGATTTTAAAATATTATATACATGTTACAGAAAAACAATGAAAAAGGTAACAAAATGAATGAAAGATACTGAATTTTACCAGAGAAATTTTAAAAAACCAAATAGATATTCTCAAGTTGACTAACATAATCTAAAATTAAGATGTGATTGGGTAGGCTCCATGGCAGTCTAGACAGAGCAAAAATATGTCAATGAAAAGTATCCAAACTGAAACACAGAGAAAGAGAGAAAAAAAGAATAGGGTATCAAAGAGATATGGGATGCTGTCCAATGATCTAATATATGTGCAACCAGAGACCCATTAAAGAGGCAATACACAAAATACAGCAGAAAAATCTGATGAAATAACGAAAGAAAATTTTCCAGAACCAGTGAAAGACATCAACCCACGTCTTCAAGAAGATGAGAACACCACAAGCAAGGTAAACAAATCGCACGTAGACACATCAAAGTCACAGTGCTGAAATAAAAGAAAAAGCAGTCAGGACAAAAGGCGTATCCAGAGGAAAAACAAAAATAACAATGGCTGAATTCCGAATAGAGACAACGGAAACCAGATTACACAGAAATGGCATCTTTAAAAGTACTGAAAGGAAAAAAAAAGCTTGCCATGATAGACTTCTATACCCAGTTAAACGATTTAAAATGAAGGCAGAGTAAAAGACAATTTCAGGAGCAAGAGAGGGAGAGCGGAAGGGAGGAAGGGAGGATGGATATGAGAGAATTCATACTACAAGGAATGTGAAACACCAAAGACAATTTCCCCAAAGTGTAGGAAAGATGAATGACCCTGTCGGGAGCATGCATCTGCAGAATGCAATGAAGAACACAAGAAAGGATCGATATGTGTGTAAACATGAAAGTCTATTTAGAAAACTATTACAGACCACTCGGTGCTCAGAACACAATAATGATGGATTTTTTTTAACCCCTTGTCACGCCACCGATTGAAATGAAACAACACAACACGCTGCCACTTCACCCAAAAGCTGTGTTTTCACTTTGCCCTTTCTCGAAGGCTCAGTGGGTCATTAGCAAAAGGCCCAATGAGTGCTTTTCGAAGGGGCAATAGTGATGTATTTTAAAGACTGCAACCCATGTAAAAGTAAAATAAATGATAACAGCACTAAGTCTAGAGAGGCACCAAATAAAATTAAACGGTTAGGGCTCTTATATGGTCTGTGAAGTGGTAAAGTACTAATTTAAAATAGACTATTATGATTTAAGGATGTGTATTGTAATTACTTTTTAAAAACCCATGTTATGCTGCCAATATAAGTAAAACCCAATAGTGAAGATAACATAATTAAAAACTGATTTTCTAAAAGAATAAAGGAAGCAAAACAATAATAAACAGATGGTATAAGTAGAGAAATAAAGAGCAAAAGACAGGCATAAACCCAACTATACCAGTTCCTGTGTAAAAATGATTTAAAGACACATTGTCAGGCTGGATATAAAACACATGTGAGCTGACTATATGGTAATGAGCAGAGGTATTATAAATGTAAGAACACAGATGGATTGAAAGCAAGGGGACGGATGGAAAAGATATGTCGCTCCAACAGCAGCCATGAGATAGAAACCCGTGTGTCTCTATCACTCATACAGAATGGGACCCAAGAGAAACATAAACACTTTATAATGATAAAACAGGAAAGGAATTCATTAGGAAGACACCTTCCTAACTTCAAAGTATATGAAACAAAAATCAACAGAAATAAATACACAAATCCCCCTCAGTAATTGCTACATCAAGCAGGCCAAAAAAATATGTAACAGGATATAGAATATTTGAACAACACTAACAGCCAAATTTACCTAACTGACATGTATAAATCTCTGCCACCAACAGCTGTACTATACACATTTTTTCCAAGTAGACTTGGTACATTTGCCACAATAAGCACTATATTGAGACATAAAGCAAGTCTCAATTCACTTTACATGACTGAAATCAGAATGTTTTCTAACACCAGTGAACTAAACCAGAAATCCCTAACAAAAATAAAACTACAAACTTTAATGTATGAAAATTAAGCAATGAACTTCTAAATAACCAAAATAAATATTGAAAAATAATTTTAAATAGCAGTTAATAAAAATACAATATATAAAATTGCTAGATATAAGGGCAATATACAAAAATAACCAAATATCTACATCCTGCAACAAACAAAAAAATTAAAAACTATTAGCAACAGCAGCCAAAAAATCAAATACTTAGGATAAATTTAATAAAAGATGTACAAGAACTATACAGCAAAAACAACCTGCACAGCTGAGTAATTAGGGACCCAGATAAATGGAGATACGCCATACCAATGGATCAGACTCAGCATCGTTAATTCTCCAGAAATTGTTTCATCGGTTCCTCACAGTCCCAGTTAAAATCACAGCAGCCTTTTTTTAAAAAGATTCTCAAGATGATTTTAAAATGGATAGGAAAATGTAAAATGTCCTAGAGAGGCCAAACGAGTTTGAAAAAGAACAAATCGAGGGTTTACGCCACCTGATTTCAACACTTATTACAAAGCAACATTAGTAAAGAAAGTATAATATTTGGGCTCACAGGCTAGTGGAACATCAGCGAAAAGTGGTAACATTTAACCTAGATTTTGAATATAGAAATAGAAAGGGAATTCAGATTCGAAGCCTATTATTATGCGTCAAGTACTTTAATTGACTTTTAATTAACCTCAATTTTATTTTCACAACCAGCTTGACAAGTAGTTTTAATACCACTCATTTAGTGACAAGAAAACTATTGATCAAATAGTTTAGGCAAAGGTTACAAAATTCACACATGGGGGAACTGCAATTTGAATCTAGGTCTATCTGCTTCCAAAACCCCTAGGGTTCTACCAGGAAAGTAGGGGCGGAGGGGCAGAGTAATGAAGAGAGGGGACAGATTCTTTATCCACAGGAGAGAGAAATCAGATTATAGAACAGGTGAAGAAAACTGAAGAAGGTCTCTCACAGTCTGGGTCAAGACAAACAAAAGGGCCACAGACATAATTCTAATGGTAAGACATTCGCACACATCAAAAGAGAGGATCTGGAGGAAAAAAACACTGAAGTATACAACGTTCCTTCCGCTTCTGTCTCTGGAGTCCAGCCAGCTAAAAAGGTGGCTTCACGACCAGTTGTAGAAGCTGAGTGAAAAGCCCATACTCCTCGTGAGTTTTGAATCTCCCAGTATAAGAGGGTATCCAAGATACTGGGGATACATCACTGTCAGGGGATGTCAAGTAATATCAAGTACAAAGAGTTTTAATGGGTCCACATAAAGTTATTCACCCAGTGGGACATTAGGAAACATAATGCAAGCAGGGGCTTGATTAGCACTTGCACTCTGGGCTTGTCCTCTGGAAATTCTCCCTTTTGGACCCCAAGCTACCAAATTAACAGATTTGGCTACCCTGCTGAGATACTATTCATGGAGAAAGAGATACCCATCCAGCTGCCCAGGTGTTCCAGCTATCCCAACTGAGGCTCCAGACAGGTGAGCGAGGCCATCCTGCATACCCAGCCCCAAGCTGCCCTTTCAGATAAATGGAGTGAATCATATTCTCAAGATAAGCAGAAGGAACCACTCAAGTGAGCCCAAACAAGAGTGGAGAATTGAGCTCTGGCTGGTGTAGCTCAGTGGATTGAGCACGGGCCTGCGAACCAAAAGATCGCAGTTCAATTCCCTGTCAGCGTACATGCCTAGGTTGCAGGCCAGCTCCCAGCAGGGGCCAGTTCCCAGCAGGGGATGCACCAGAAGCAACCATACATTGATATTTCTCTCCCTCCCTTCCCTTCTAAAGATACATAAAGAAAAAAATTTTAAAAAGAGTGCAGAATAATAACCAAATAAATGAAGTGCTTTATGCTGCAATGGATAACTGATAAACCCCTTAGTAAGGTAAACAGGTCACTGTGTGTGGGTGGGGGAAAGTGTGTCTGTGCGTGTGTGTTTGCACGGCCTCTTGCCAGGCCTACTCGGTCTCAGGGAGAGAACACTGTTTAATGTCAGTTACACGGTAAATAACGACAGCATCACAAACCCCTTGGTAAATACAATGGATGTTTTTATTCAGTTACACATACACATTTCTATTAGGAGACATGTCTATTAAAATAGGTTGGTATTACAACATACTATCAGCATGCTCTGCTGTATGATTGGTCCTGTTAGACATCTTATTTTTGAAATCGCTTGGTTGGTTATGAAATGTTACCAGCTGTTAAAATGGAAGCAAGTACATCTTCAATATAAAACGTTTCTATACGTAGGACTGAGGTAGGTTGTTTTTAAAGACATATTATTTGGCTTAATTCTTTTTTCTCTGTATAAACATGTATTCCTTTACCTTCATCTTTTTCAAAGGATTATTCAGCTCTCGCTGGAATGAAGCTGCTCTTCCTGAAAGAAAGGTCTGAAAGGCAGCAGCCAACAAATTTTCATACTTTTCAAGTAGAGTCTTGTCTTCAGGAGGATAAATTCGTCTACAATAAAGTCAGATAAACCAACTTGTGTAAAAGAAGTTATTTTATTCTTAAGAGTAAAGGTCAACTACATCGATAATCCATGACCACCTGTTCTGCCAGGCACTTCACTAGGTGTCAGAAATAAAGATGTATATGGTTATGAACAATTCGTAAACTGTCATCTGTCACACACACAAATTAAAGTTTATCCAGAGAATTATCTTAAGACATGATACAATATAAGGGTTTAGTTAGAAGTAGGTGGTTGGAAAACCATTGCAATTGGGCATACTGAAGAAATACAGAATTTTATGGGAGAAAGTTTAGGCGATGAGGGACACTTTGGAAGTTTCGGATTTAGTACGATTCCTGGAGGATCTTAGGGAGCGCCCTTTTGTCCCAGCGCAGCGGATACCGTGGAAGGAGGGGTTCCAGCGCTTTCCAACAGGGTCCACACACTTTCTATTGTCTCATACCTGGCACTTTCAAACATTTTCATTATTTGCCTGGCTCCTGATACATTAAGAGTTTAAAACAAAATATAGTAACCACTTCGAATTGACAGAAATAACACTAGGAGACCTGAAACCTGACTTCCTAACAATACTACATTGTAACCAAATAAGGACTAGATACTCAGATTTAAAAGGCCTCACACAGCCCCCCTCAAGGCTGGCTAGCAGGGGTCTCCCAAGTCTGAACCATCTACTTGCTGATGACATTTTCATTACAGAAAAATATTAAACAAAAGCACTTTCTTAAAATAAAATAAGCAATGCTTAAAACAAGCCTAAACGGTTATAAAATGCAGACTAATTGTCACTGAACTTGCATGATCTATCTAAAAAGGAAGTGCACTTGCCTATAATTCCCCATGTGTCGATTTTCATGTTCTTCTTTGGAAATCTGCTTTCGTACTTGAGCAAGTCTCTCTTTCTAGAATAAAAAAATTTACAAATAAAACCTGAGAAATGAATTATGCAATTCAAAATGTGGGTGTGTTAAAATTTTCATACCAACTCCTCTTTCCGCCTCTCCAACTGATGTCTCTGCTGTTCCCAGTCTGAGGAGCCTGGTAAGAGCCTTCTTATTGAATTTTGACCATAAAGCCTCCGTTGAGCCTCAGCTTTTTGTTTGGCCAAGTTTCTCCTTTTATCACTGGTCCTAAAATATAAAACACAAGACCATATTCTGAAATGCACAAAAACTCTGATCTTATCCCTGGGAGATTAGCAGAAAAAGAGACATAGTAAAGATGAATCAATGTTTATTAAATTATATATTCACACTATGTTCCCCTAAGTATCCATCAGATAAGTGTCTCTCTACATTAAACAGAAATTCTGAAGGTAACCAAATAAACTGGAAACAGCACAACTTACTATCCGTACAAGCTGAGGTCAATTACCTGTTGTCTGCTTCCCCATCTACTAAATGATAACATGATGTTTCCCTCCTACAGTTCTTACAAACATTAACTCATGGTGACATTAATAGGTCCTTCATAAATGTTGGTTCCTTTCTCCTCCTTCAACCAATCCCGTTTATACTGAAGCATTCTCACTTACACTGACCACTCAAGCATATTTTCAGTTCTGACTGAAATCCTAGTGTAACAATCATCATTTATTTGAAAACTTCTGTACAGTCCTTCTCATTTTGCCCAGTCTTGAAAATTTAGTTCCAGATGTCTGATTTTTATGGGGAAGGCCCTGTGGTGAGATTCGCCTCCCTGTGGAACTCACTCCTCTCCCTTCCAGCCCACGGAGCTGCGCAATCGGTGGAGAGTTACTGATTCATGAGCACAGAGGATCAGCTTTGCACAACCAAAAAGTTCTGGGGAAGGACGGTGGTGATGGCCGCACAACAATGTGCATCTAGTTAATGCCACTGAATTGCACAATTAAAAATGGCTAAGACAGTAAGTTTCATGTTAAGTATATTTTACCAAAAACTTTTGAAAATGAGTTGACATTCACTAGAGGAACAAAGCTAAGAGTACATTTCAATGTGAGTATGTGCAAACCATGAACATGTGAGACAGCACCACACACGCGTTCTTAAGAAAATTAACTCCAAGGCAGAGAAAAGAACAAAAAGTGACCATACATGTGAGAAATGCAGAAGCCAGACCAAACACTGTCTCATACGCAATCTAAGATTAAAAATGCCTCGATGCAGTGTTGAAACTTTATCTGACAGTGTGGAAACAATCCAATCAGAATATCAGAGTTCATAAACACTGGCGTTCCAACACTGGCATTCCTCAGGGCTCTGCAGCCACGGCCCTTCACTTCTCAATATGTGCACCCCAACTGTGTGCTCTCACCTGTCCGACGCAGCGGCATCTGTACGCGGATGTCAGTCTAATAGATCTCTCCACCTCCTGGGGCACCGAATATCAGATTTCCCACTTAACAATTCTGCCCAACGTCTCAAAGCATCTCAGAATTAGCATGTTTAAAACTGGCCTGTCTCTTTCTCTCTCTCTCTACCTTCCCCCATCACTCCTTTAAAACTATTTCTCACCTAAAAATTTTATCTAAATCGATGATGAAGATAAAGGATGATGGCTTGGATGAAGAAGGCATCCAAGCCAGAAACCTAGGAATCAGGGAGACACTGAGTTCCCAGTACCCACTGCAATAGTAGTGGGCACTTGTGAGCATTTAACAATACACACTTGTTAAATGACTAGCAGAGCAACAGAGTGGATAGCGGCTGAAAATGGGGAGGAGGTTAGTGCTACAAGAAAAAAGAAAAGCAGTAACATAATCCAGAAGAGAAATGAGAAGTCCTGAAACTTGGTGAGACTGAGAATTAAGGGGCAGTCATACAGTTGACGGGACTCACCTGAGTCTTGATAACGGAAAGATGCAAAGATAACTCCCAGCTTTCTAACCAGGACATTTATGTGGATGGTTTCTAGACTCTATTTTAAGGATTCTAATATAATACTTACATAGAAAAAAGATTCTTCTTATCAACACACAACTATCTACTACACAGATTGCATTTTTTCTTTTATTACCAAAAAAACCCCACTTTTTCTTACTTATTACTATTTTACTATTGATTATTTTTGTTTATTATTCTTTTCCTGTTCGGCATATAGCCCCTTTTGTACTCTTTGTCTCTGAAGACCCAAGGCCAAATGTTTCAGAAAATTATTTGAATCTGAACTCAAATAACATTGCACCACCCAAGTACAAAGTGGATGGATTCTAACCCCTTGATATGAGGTTCTGTATTCTCAGGGGTTGAGATGTAACACACTGAGCAATCTGCACTCTTTCAGATTTTCTTGAGACTAAAAGTATATATTTGCACTATGAATTTGGGGGGAATATATGGAGCCACATTATAAGTAAAACATTGTATTAAGAATTGTGTAAAACAACAACATATATATTCCTTGACTTCAAGGAGTTTAAGTCAAATTGAAAAGAAAAATCAGCCATATCCAAGTAGAACAGCACAGAGCACGAGAGAGTGAACAAATGTGATAAGCCTTATACTATGCAGACTATAATTCCTCTTGGAGTTCGAAGAAGAAAAAATTAACTTGTGCTAGAAAGCAGATACCACAATAAAGGATGGGATTTGAGTCACAGGCAATAAGCAGAGGCATCCAGGGTAAGGAACAGAATAAATAATCAATTAGAATGGCCAAGACATGTGAGAAAAATAGTAAGATAATCAGCTTAACTAAATTTGGGTTGGAGAGAAATAGGAAATAAGATGGAAAAGCTAAGGTTAAGTTTTATTATGAAAGGAGCTTAGACAAACTGTTGGCAATAGAAATCCGTTTAGGTTCTTGAGCAGAAAGATAACACAATAAAAAAAAAAAAGGATCATTGTGACCGTCTGACTAAAATGAATGTAAATAGGGAATCACAGAACAATTTATTCTATCCAAGGTAAAACAGTCCCTGTAAAAATTAACCCAATAATAGGACTTTCCCAGTGTCCTTAGTCCCCTGCTCATGTTCCCACCGTGTGCCATCTCCCACCCAGCCTCAGTGAAGTGCGAGTCACCACTCCATGGCCCTGCACTCTCCGTCTGGCTGGAGAGAAAAGGCTTGGCTACAGCACAAGCTTCATCAGCATATTCTCTAAATGTTAAGAATTGTGCCAAATTCCCAAGTAGAACAACACTAAGGAAAACAAGGAAGATGAAATCCAACATTCCCTTAATTTTAAGTCTAGAAATGTCTCACGGTTGAAAGGTGTCCCTCCCACTTTTAAGGAGACCAAAAACACCCATGGGTAAGGTCCTGAATTGATGCTGTCATTGGCAAAGTCAAAAGACTTGCCAAAAAAAACCCCAAAACAAAAATACAAGGCCTACTTATATAATAATAGTAAATGCAAAAAAAAAAAGTACAGGCATATTGCTTAAATAATCCAAAATACTGATGCTAAGCTAAATAAACAAAAATTTCTCATTCTACATTTCTTTTCTTTCTATTCATTTATCATAATTGAAATATCAACAGAATTTAGGCAAATCATCATTTGATCAAGCAAAAGGATGAGTCATATAAAAATTTTGAACAAGTTTATATGTCTATCTCTTTTTAAAATGATGCTTTCCATTAAAGCTACCTTTTAATCACACATCTCCTAAGGGCTTGGAAAACACTCCAAATAAATAAATTGCTTGGAGGCATCCCACAACTTCTCTAGAGCTCTTAAAATAACAAGTAGAAATTCAAATCATAAAATCCCTAAGAATAAATTACCTCCGAGGTCCTTTAATCCAACACTCTAAATGCTGTTTCAATACTTACAATTGCAAACAACTCATTCCTTCTTTGAGAAGTTCAGTTAAACTTCTAAAATTTTTATTTCATTATGAGCCAAAAGCTCTCCCAGATAACAGCGCTTTGAAGACGTGACATCCACAATCACGCTCACTGCAACCAGCAACCCCACTTCTGGGACTATATGCAGGGGAGCGGGAGTTAGGATTCGGAGATACCCACTCTCACATATGCACCATTTTTCACAATAGCCAAGACACGGAAGCCACCTAAATGTTCATAAATGGGTAAAGACAATGTGATGGCCCAGACTGGTGTGGCTCAGCTGATTGGGCATCATCCCACAAAGCGAGAGGTCACTGGTTCAATTCCTGGTCAGGGCACATGCCCGGGTACTGGGCTGGTTCCCAGTCTGGGCTCAAGTGACAGGCAACCAATCAATGTATCTCTCACACATCCACGTTTCTCTCCCTGTCTTTCTCCCTCCCTTTCCCTGTCTCTAAAAATAAATAAAAATTTTAAAAGAGAAAGAAAATGTGGTGTATACATACAATGGGATATTATTCACCCTTAAAAAAAAAAAGGAACTCCCATTAGAAGACTAGCCCTCACTTAATGACTGCTTTACTTGAATGACCCTCACTCTTTTCTGTTTACTCAGGCAGCAAGATTTAGAGGGAAGAACTCTGGAAGAGAAAAGTAAGGAAATCAATATTTGAGGCTTTTTTTTTCTCTACTTCCTGAATGACTTGCTTTAGTTTCTTCTTATAAGGTGAGGAAGATAATCTAGAAGGTACTGTAAGGTATTCTCCAACTCAACCTATACTCTGTATTAAATAATTATATCAAAACTGTAACTTAACCATTACTTCCTGTAGAATCAGAGCATTAAATGGGGAAAAGGAAAAACAAACAGTGTGTCAGAAGAGGAGAAAAGGCTTTTAAAAAGAAAAAAACTAAATGGGTTTGAAGAATGGAATCAAGAAATTCAAAACTAAAATACAAAAAGGTTCAAGCAATCCCACATACAAATGAGGGTTGTACGGCAAATGCGGTGGAAGAAGCTCCAGGAGATGGGGACACCTCACCTGATGTTCAGCAGCTTCAGCGCGTTCAGCAGCACCCCTCTCTTCACGTCGTAGTCTATTTTCTGGTCAGTTCCGAAGCTCGGGGCGCGGTTGATCTAAAATTCACAAAGAAAACATGAGACTAGCCAAATGTGGGCAGGCCAATAATTATTCAATACATACACGTTCATCTTTTTTTATATTGTATTGATTATGCAATTACAGTTGTGCCCATTTCCCCCACCGTTGTCCTCCTCTACCCAGCACCCCTCATTCCCTCTGGCGATCCCCTGCCTTAGTTTATGTCCATGGGTCATGCATGTAAGTTCTTTGGCTTCTCCATTTCCTATACTGTTCTTAACCTCCCTGTCTATTCTGAACCTACCAATTTGTACTGCTCAAGCCCTGCACCTTTTTCCTATTCTCCCCCTTCTACCTCCAAACTGATAACCTTCCAAATGATCTCCATGTCTATGATTTTGTTCCTGCTCTGCTAGTTTGTTTAGTTTTTTTATATTCGATTTTTGATAACTGTGAATTTTTTGCCACTTTAACGTTCATAGTTTTTATCTTTTTCTTCTTAAATAAGTCCCTTTAACACTTCCTCTAATAATGACTTGGTGATGATGAACTCTTTTAGCTTTAACTTGTCTGAGAAGCACTTTATCTGCCCTTCCATTCTAAATGACAGCTTCGCCAAATGGAGTAATCTAGGTTGTAAGTCCTTGCTTATCATGACTTTGAATACTTCTTGCCAGTTCCTTCTAGCCTGCAAAGTTTCTTTTGAGAAATCAGCTGAGAGTCTTACGGGCACTTCTTTGAAGGTAATTCTCTGCTTTTCTCTTGCTGCCTTTAAGATTCTCTATCTTTAACCTTTGGCTATAATTATGATATGCTTGGCGTAATCCTCTTTGGGTCCATCTTGTTTGGGAATCTCTGTGCTTCCTGGGCTTGTATGTCCATTTCCCTCACCAAATGAGGAAAGTCTTCTTTCATTATTTTTTCAAATAAGTTTTCAATTTCTTGCTCTTTCTCTTCTCCTTTCAGCATTCTATCATTTAAATGTTGGATGTCTGAAGTTGCCCCAGAGACACCTTAGCCTATCCTCATTTTTTTAAATTCTTTTTTCTTTTTGCTGTTCTGATTGAATGTTTTTTTTCTTCCTTCCATTCCAAATCATTGATTTGATTCTTGAGTTCATCCACTTCTCTGTTGATTCCCTGTACTTTTTTCTTTATTTTACTTAGTGTAACTTTTATTTCTGCCTGTGTCTTTTTTATGTTGTTGAAGTTCCCAGTGAGTTCCTTGAGCATCCTATCCTGATAGCCAGTGTTTTGAACTTTGCATCTGACAGACAGCTTACCTCCATTTTGTTTAGTTCTTTTTCTGGAGTTTTGTTCTGTTCTTTTATTTGGGTCATATTTCTTTGTGTCCTCATTTTGGCAGCCTTCTTCTGTTTGTTTCCATGTATTAGACAGAGCTGCTTTGATTCCCTGCCTTAGTAGCGTGGCCTGTTGTAGAAAGGCACACCAGTAAATGAGATGGCAGAGCCTTAGGTGACTGCCAGGGTGGGACAACCCATGTGAACCCACTTGATAGAGTTTCAGATGTGGTGTCTGTGCTCTGTGGCTCTGTGTGGGGGAGGGCTCAGAAAAGGGACTGTGGCCACTGGCTGGCCTCTGGGATTTTGTACAGGAGGAAGCTGTCCCCCAACATTCACCCTGATGACAGACACTTCAGTTTCTCCCCATGTGCCACTGGTGCCCTTCCAGCTGCTTCCCCAGTGCTGGAGCCCAGAGGGAGTGAGTCTGCATAATTTCTAAGTCCATTTCAGACCCTTTAGGAAGAGACACCTGACAATCCCGCAGTTTCTTCTTCTGCCCCAAACCCCAGTGGTTTGCACAGCCAGAAGTTATGAGGATTTATCTTCCTGGCACTGGAACCCTGGACTGGGTAGTCGGGTGTGGGGCTGGGATCCATCACTCCTGAGGTATCCCTCCTGATTTGCATCCACCACATGCAGGCATGGGACTGCTCATTCCACATCTCTGCATCTCTGTATCTCCACTCCTCCTGCCGCCAGGATGAATGTGGCTTCTTTAATTCCTTGGTTTGGATTTCCATACAGCTTGATTTTCAGATGATTCTAGGTGAAAGTCGTTTTGTAGTTTAGCAAGGAGGTGAGCTGTGTTTACCTACGCCTCTATCTTGACCAGAAGTCTGAGACCATATTTGTTCATCTAATGTGGGGTCCCCAACCAGCAAAAGGATTCTACAATCAATCACAAAGCTCTAGGTGGTAGATCGCCTGGTTACTATGGCCATGCCTCCCTTTGCCATCACCCTACATCAGGCCGCTGCAAGGAACTGTCACCACCACCCCCTTCCCCCTGCTGCCTTAGCTCCAGATCTGCAGTTAGCAAACCTGCCCTCTCCAGCCTCTCCACTCTCTGCAACCCATTCACCCATGCACTCTAAGTTTTAAGTGTAGAGAAGTTAAAGCAACACACCCTGTATAATAATAATAATGTAACAAAAATAATATGCATGTTACCAACACAGTAATAATTATATGCACGCATGCATTTAGCATACAGAAACTACCAGAGCCCTGTTTTCACTGCCTCAATCTTCTGGATAAATTCATCTGTTGCTGCCTAAAAAAACCAAAGTCTGTTTCTTTTACCTGGATCAAACAAGACTCATCAATTTTCATTTCCAAAGGCACTGACTATATATATTACTCAGGAGATACCACCAAGGGCAGCTGCAGACTAAACTCTATGAGCTTTTCTAACTGTAGAAGGACTCCTGGGAATAAATGAGCCATCTGTGGTTGCTCTACATCATTTCCAACATCATTGCCAGGATTTCATTAAGACAAAAAATAAAAAGTAACTCTATGTACCCAGAAATCCTTTAGACAATAAATATACTACCACTTCAAGAGCTGGAGTTTTGTTTTTGTCTTTGTTGTTGTTGAGTTTTCTTGTTGTTGTTATGAAAATGTAACTAGAATAGCAAGTATTTAAGGAAATTCCTTACTCAAGTCAGTTGGTTAGAACATTGCTGAGTTCAGTAGCTCAGTGTCATGGCCACCAGGTAACTCCACAGACTATCTAAAAACATACATGCTACTGGTCATAGAAGAGGGTACTCTTACGCAAATCCATCACAAGAGACAAGATAACCGAGGGCATGCATTTTACAACTGGCAGCTGAAAGAAATACCACATTGTACTTAAGAAGTCATCCAGGAACACAAACGCCTCTAATTAGGAATGTGGCCCGGAATTACTGGTGAAAAATTAGTACTCAACAGAAGTTAAACAAACAACAAAAAGTCACCTGTAATCTGACTGCCTAGTGCATTGTTAACCATCTAATAAATGGTATTCTGGATCTTTGCTATGCATACATACTTACAATATTCATTTTACTTTCTCATACATGTCTATGTTATTTCTACTAATTTTACAATCCAAGTTTCTCTCTTAACAATCTATCATGAAAATCTTTCATGCTATCATTCTGATGGGTGCATAATAGTCTTTTTATAGAGATATGCCAAACTGTATTTTTATAGAGATATGCCACATTGAATTATTCCTTTGCAGATTTCTGATTTAGAAAGTGATTAACATATTCCTGTCTATGTGCTCTGCTCTTCAGCAAAGGGAGTAGCTTGATAATTGCAAGAACATCCATTTATTCCAGGTAAATTTGAGAAAGGGAGTTTATTAATGTGCTACTTCAAAGCTCTAAGTATTATCTCTTACAAGTGCAGAGAAAGGGTAATGTATTTTAAATTGAAAAAAGCTTCGACCATTCTGTAGCGACTCAAATCTCTCAAATTTGCAATACAACTAATGGTAGTTCTGCTATTATATATAATAGGATTATAAAATAAACCAGACATTCAGGAACTGATGATTAAGTGGCTCACTGAAATGTTATGGACCTGCATAGAGTTCCTTATGTGTTCATTATAAAACTGCAGTCTGGAGTTCTGGCAGGCATATTCCTCACGCGGATGGTAGTGACATTTGGTACCACAGGATCTTGGAGCCCTGTCTTGTGTATTGCAAATTCTCCCCCTACTATCACATAAAAGAAATTGGTCTATGAAAAAATATACCCAACTATACTAATATGTCAGAAGGTAGACAAACTTTTTTCAATTAAAATTTTGGATTTTTAAAAAAGTTTTATGAGAGATGTAGAGAAAAAAATAATAGAGCCACAAACGGCTGACAGAAGAAACTCCGAAAATTAAGGTTCCATACAGCCAAAATTTTGCTCTGTAATGTTGATTGCTTCTTTAATTCACATTGCCTACCCCACTTCTAAAACAGACAAACCCAGGCAGATATTATAGCCTTAAAACTCAGCAGCTTATAAATACATGCAAAAATGAAAATTGTTAGAAAGCAAATCAAATTAATAAATGTTATTTTTAACTGTTTAAATCATTGTTGTATTATCAAAATAAGCACAATCATTTCATGCACATAAAAAAGTACCCACAATAGAGTCTGTGCTCCTAAATTAGTGCTGTTCCTTCCACCCAGGAACTTCCCCCAACCCCACCCCCAGTTCTCCAGGCTCCAAGCCCCTATCCCACTTTCCAAAGCCTTAAGCACCAGGCTCAGTTCTTCCCACCTCTGTAAAGATTGCTTTAACTCTTACATACATGCATGTACAAAGGGAAATTAATCACTGCTGGTACCCTGTTCCTTATTTATACCTACAACCCTTACCATAAAACACAAAATCCAAGTCCCCAAAAGACCAGCACATACTTTGTGTCTTATTCTTCTTGTATTTCCACCACCTGGCACAATCACTTATTGAAATTAATTCAAGGACACTTTAGTCCTGGCTGGGTGGTTCATTTGGTTGGAATGTTGTCTCACACACCAGAAGGATGCACTTCAGTTCCCAGTCGGTGCATGTATGGGAAGCAATATCTTCCCTCGCCTCCCTCCCTCCCCCCTTCCTCCTTCAACCCCTTCTCTCTAAATCAATAAAAAAACATATCTTTGGGTGAGGATTTTTAAAAAGTGTTTTTAATAAAGTGTTCGTAATTTTAAAAGGCCAACTTTTAATCATTTATTTTCAAAATATTTGCAGCCCTGACCGGGTAGTTTGGTTGATTAGAGCGGCATCAGATATTCTAAGGTTGCGAATCTGACCTCTGGTCAGGGCACGTGCAAGAAGCAACTGATAAATACAACAAATCAATCTCTCTGTGTGTCTCTCTCCCCCGCCACCCTCTCTAAAAATCAGTAAACATGTCATCCTCGGGTGAGGATTAAATTTTTAAAAATTCAAATTGCTAAAAAAGAATACTTAAAGTATTAGAAGTATATTCATACTCCACCAAATTTTCATGTTTATCCCTAAAAGTGTCTTCTATGCTTGAAAATTTCTGCAATTTACCACTACAAATCATAACTGGCAATTATTCCTGTGAACGAAGTTATCACATTCTCAGAAGCACCTTCTACCTCACTCCACTGGATGGCGCCAAAAGGTTTTTGACAACATACTAGAATTGCAACAAGAGCAGCTTAGAGAAAATATAAAGGAGGAAGATCTACATAAAATTCTTTTTACTGTTTTAATATAATAAATGTTCATTAACCACAGCTGTTAGTTATTGTGCATTTTTAATGGTTCTGATTGATCCAGAAATGATGAAAAAATAACTAGAAAATGAAAATACGTTTATGCAAACAATGCTATTTGGCCGTTGGTTATTGTGGAATTTTTTAATGGTTCTTAGAGATGTGGAAATGATGAAGGAGAGAATAAAGTATGAAGAAACATTAATGCAAACAATGGTATTTTGAGCCTTTAAAATGAAAACAGAAGTCAACCATTCAGTCAATTCTGATTTACAAGCTAAAGCTCCAGTTAGGCCACTGCTTTTAAAACCAGGTAACTAAATTTCTATCAAGTCATTCCCCGCTATCCTCTCGGTTGCACCTCGCCCAGGAGCCTTCACTTCTTCCCCACCTCACCAAGCATACAAGAGAAGCAGCAGGGGTAGAAAAAAATACCGCTGAGAACTGGAAGGGATGACTGCAGACAACACGATAAACCTGAGGAAGACGGTGTCAGGCCTCAGTGAAGCAAAGGGCCCCCAGGTGCAGCCAAGTGCTTTGATGCCTGATGGAGGAAGTTCAAGGCTAAGCAAAGTGCCTCCCATTTGTCTTATTTCTAGGATCCCAGCAGGAGGGAAATTTGAACACCTGACAGAACTGTACTTGATTGGAAATATACACATTATTTCCTCATAGTAGATTAAAAGTCCACACAAAAGTGTTCTTTCCTAAAAATAGATTTTGAATGTTTTGATCTCAACTATGACACATTCAATTTGCTTTTGCAAAACTTGATATTAAAGATACAACTGCCAACTTATAAATTATTAACAAAAATAAGAAATAATCGACTTAAAATGAAAGATAATTGTTGATTATATCTTCTATAGCCATATGTTCCTTAAAAATATAACTAATCTAGTAAACACGAAGTGTTTAGATATGCACTCCTTTCCTGATAAAGTTTCCTAAACACGGTATTTCACGGCCATGAACTCTATGACCCCAGATGCTGAGTGGGGTACTATTGGACCACATGACTTCTAAGGTGTGTTCTCCGTACATTCTGAATATAAATAAGAATGGGAGAGAAGGTACCAAGATCTTCAAAAGAGATTACTCTTATTTTTTCTTTTATATTATTCTATATTTTCCCTATGTTAAGTGACCTTTTATCAATAAAAAGACAATAATGACGCCTCTGCCCCCTCCAGGCACTGACGGCAAACCCAAAGGCACACAGTGGGCGGCTGGACGCAAGGGGAGCCCTCGGCAAGTGACAGGGCCACAGGGAGACGTCATGCCGCCGGGTGCGAGGCAGTAAACACTGATGAATGGGCCCAGCGGGGCCTCTCCCTTGGAGAGTCTGAAGGCCAGGCACCCATACGGAGGAGGCAAGACAACACGCACAAGTCATGAGGTGGCAGAAGCCGTGAGGCTGAGAAAACACTGGAGAAAGCAGATTAAAAAAATCACATAAATTCAAAATTCCTGGCCTAGAAATTCAGTACTAATTTGGGAAAAGTAATATCAAACACACATGGATCCTTTCTTGGATCTGTTCTACCCCACGAATTTTCATTCTCTTCCTCCCACATACTGCATTCAGGCCTCTTTCTGCTCGGTTAATGAGGCAACTGTGCCAAATACACATTTCAAAAACATTTCTTTTAATACACAAGAACAGTGGCGACGTTTCTTTCTTCTTAAAAAAAAAAGTCTTACCTCCAGAAGCCATGGCTTTAGTTTTCTGTCCAACAAAATGTCAAAGCCCAGGACCTCAAAGCAGACACTCTCACTTCCCGGAGGCTGACCAGGCCGGCACATCCGATACGCGTGCAGGACATGAGGCTCTGCCACAATCAGGGTCTTAACAACCAACTCCTGCAAGTGTACATTGTTTTCAAAAGGTGAAAATGCTTTCCTTCTTTCTCATTTGCACAAGTGGCAATAAGGCCTGGACTTACAGCCTGGCTCTATGGCATCGAGCCCCCGCCACTGCTCTGACTTTGGCTCACCCAGCTCCTCCCCTTCCCGGCAAGCTCCAGCCACGCTTGTCCTCTCTGGGCTCTTTGTAGTGATGGTTCCCTTGTCCTGCAACACTCTCCCCCCGATATTTCCTTGTCTGAATCCTTGATATTCCCTTCCCTGACCCTGCAGTCAAGTATTGCGCCTATCACCCCTTACCACATGACTACACAGCATATATCCACTGATCTTTTTCTTGTTTTGTTGGAGCAGCATCCTTGACTGTTTTATTACAACCTCACTCCCAGTGCCCACAATAGTGCCTAGCATAGGAGAGCTGGGTTTCTTTGTGCAGTGATGATTTCACAGTTCACAAAGTTTATATGAGATGAAAATACTGCCAATGCATGAACTGATGGGGCTCCCAGTGAAAATGAGTTTGATACCCCTGCCCTGTTGGCTTCCATGTGGAGACTACGTCATTCTTTTTTCTTGTCTGATATCTAAGAACTTTGGATTTACATTCTATTTACATTCTATGAAAAAATAAGGAGTAAAAACCATCAACCAACAAAATAATCAACAAAAAGATAAATATGTTGATGCTGATTTTTCTCTTGTTTTCTCAAGAGACCAAATTCAACTACCTATGTATGAACTTTCATGTCCATTTTCCATGACAGATTTATTTAAATTATATATTATTTGTTTTCAAAGGAAAGTCAAATCAAATTATATAGCCCTCATCGTACTGTGTTTTCAACAGACACAGTCTTCTAACTTTGAAGATGATTTTCATACTTCTGCTGTGATTAATAAAAGGTCTGTTTCACCAAGGTCATCTTCTCACAGTTTTCCCTTTCCTCTCTTTGCCATTTGGGATTTCATCCACTGCCATTGCTTTAAATACAAATTGCACCTCAAACATACACTTCTGACTGACTGCTGGATCTCTCTACCTGAGACAGCATTTCAAGTTCAACATATCTAAAGTAAAACTCATCATCCTAGCCTCATGGACTTTTCAAAACTTAGTTTGTAAGTCAATGCCTCTAAGAAGTACCACCCAACGCTACTGTAAGTGGTCCTCCTTCACTTCCCCACAAAACCCAATGCACGCCTCTGCCCTTGTACTTGCTACGCTGCATTTCAATAACAATTTCTGAGCTGGGTTTTCCTGTCAAACTCTAGGGTTTTTGAGTATCTTATAAATCTTCAAATTATTAGCCAGAGACAGGCTTATAATTATGGGTTCAACAAATATTTACTGAATAAGTGAATGAATAAATACATACATACATACATACATAAACTTTTTGCCCCTCGTTTGCAAAACTAAGCTCCACATCTCAAAAATAAATCCTTCCCACTCTATTTCAGATAATGTCATACCCAAGCGCCCTACAATTACTTCTTAAAACTGTAGAAGAACCTCTGAACACCTCCCCCATTCTGAACTCAATTAATCTTGACTTCACTGTGCTCAATTTAAACCATTCTTCTCACTTTAACTACTCCCAAGTGCCTCTTCTACCTCCTCTTGCTCTTCACTCTTTCCATCCTATGCTCTTTTTCAGATTTGTCTTTTGAACTCATAGCCCTTTGAACTCATAGCCCTTGGCCTTATTATTCTCTTCCTTTAAAAACTGGGAGTTAAGCTTTGATTTTCAGATCTAAAATGTGGCCTCTACATAATCTTCTCAGCCATAGGTCCCCGTGCATCTCCCACAGACCCCAAATACGCACCCTGACCACTCACCACGACCCTCACATCTCCATGTCCCCACTTGTGCTCTCGCCTCCAGCCAGAATTCTCTCTTTTCCATCCCTAGCAGTGAAAATACTACTTATCTATCAAGGTCCATCACAAATTCTGTCTCCTTCATGAAAACACGCTTTATCAGCCCAATCTAAGGTAATCTGCTCTTTATTTAAAATGTTTTGTGATCTTGAGATAATCTGAGGAAAGACGGCTATAATTGTGATATGGTAAACTCTTACTGAAATGTCACTCCAGAACTTAGTAACATCATACTGGTTTGCTTGCAGGAATTCTGTGAACCATTTGATGGAGCGTTTGCTGCCTTTGTTTTCGGTTTCATCCCTTTCAAAATGCTCATTGTGCTTGTTCACAGAGTAGTTAGTCAGGTGCATGTACAACTGGGTCTGCAATGAGGAAGAACCGACGTTATCACCTGTGAGACTCTAAAACACGAGATGTCACTGAAAAGAAAGTATCCAAAGATGAAAGATGATTTTAAAATTTAAAATATACAGATTGACAATTCCATGATTGCTCAGACAATTACCACATTAAGTGGAATGGCACATTTCCCTTAAAAAGACTGTAAATGTAGTCATCTATACCTGCCATAGAAAATATTAAAATAATAATATATAGTAATTAAATAAAATGTGAACCTATATATTGCTAAGCAAGAAAAATGCTTTTTTGTTCATTTTTAAAAATAATTACTTTATTGTTGTTCAATTACAGTTGTCTGCATTTTTCCTCACTACTCCCCCCAACCCTAGCCAAACCCACCTCCCCACCTTGCTGCCACCCTCCCGCCTGGTTTTGTCCATGTGTCCCTTATAGTAGTTCCTGAAAACCCTTCCCCTTATTAGCCCCTCCCCATTTCCCTCTGGTTACTGTCAGTTTGTTCTTAATTTCTATGTCTCTGGTTATATTTTGCTTGCTTGTTTGTTTTGTTGATTATGTTCCATTTAAAGGTGAGATCATATGGTATTTGTCCCTCACTGCCTGGCTTATTTCACTTAGCATAATTCTCTCCAGTTCCACCCATGCTGTCACACAGGGTAGGAGCTCCTTCTTTCTCTCTGCTGTGTAGTATTCCATTTGGTTTTGTTTTTAATGTTTTGGGTCACTTAGAGTTTCACCCAAATTTGTTTGAGAAAGAAATTTTCTGAGAGAATATTCTATGTCTTTTCAAAGAAAATAACAAATGAAAGCTCAAATAAGCAGCATGAACCAAGAGGTCAGACTACCAAACACAGCCTGTGCCCTCACACACACTGCCGGGAAGCCCCCTTAACTCATCACAAGACGGAGTGCACACAGAGTCAGCAGACAACGCTGCACACCACACAACACTGCACAGAATCCATATGATTATCACTGCACTGATCGTGCTTCACGTCTTAGTCTCTTCATACCCTATGTTTGCTGATACTGCTTCTCAAACCAGAAAAAGACTCCAAAATTTAAAACTTCTCATAACTGCCCATTAATGCACACCTAGTGGCTCCTTACCGATCTTGCATAAGCATTCATCAAGTCTGTAAATCCCACCTTCAGGACTCTACTCCTAAAGATTACTTTAGACAGCAATGTTGTATCACAATGAATAGATGTTTCGTGCACACAATTATTATTTTGGTTTGTTAATGACCAAGTATATTCATATCAAATTTTTTCACTGCCAATACTTAGGTCTGTAGTCTTAAAATCCTAGAAGCAGATATGCAGAATTCCTCAACCTATGTGCCCACCACTATTAAGAATTTATTTTTTCATTCATTAAACAATATTTAAGGTGCCCCTACTACAGCAGAAATTTGGATTGTGCACTGTGGATACAAAGATGAATAAGAGAGACAGCCCCTACCCTCATGAAACTTAGAAAAAGCTTTCAATTAATCTACATTTAAAAGAAAGAACATAAACCTTATGCTAGTCTAATTTTAAGAACTTGACTTTTTTAAATCAAATTATTTCCTACTTTCCAAAATACAAATAATTGTTTCATTTAAAAAAAGGCTGGAAACTAATTTTTTGAGGAGCTCTTCATTTGGCAGGAATTTCTTAAAGTAAATAATAACAGTAATAAAAAGTCTAGCTATCCTAGCAAAAAACTGCAAAAGAAATAGCGCTTTGCAATTTTCTTAAACATTATCTTTGTAAGTAGGTATAGAACTTTCACAGTTCCCCATCTGTCTCAACAGAAATCGCCTTCTAAACAGTCCATTGCCAGTTGGATGTTTGCCTTAATGAGAGGTGACAGCAGCAATGAAAATGGAAGAAAAAATATGCAGCACTCTGCCATCTAAAACAGTAAGAGCATTTGGCTTATTTTTTCTAGACTTTTTAAACTTACCTTTTACATAAGGTAAGCGATCTCACTTCAAATAAAATTTCATATGTCAATTTTTATTTTTTTATATCTTAATCTAGAAATTCTATCATGAAATTGTATTGATATACAAGGATCAGGAACACTGATGTTCATCCTACATGAAACTGAAGCCAGGAGATTACGTGATTCAAGATCACATGGCAAAGTGAAACCTAGAAGCCACATTTCCTGACTACTGATCTTTCATTATGATTTCCAAACCTAGTGTCCTTAAGCAAATCATACACATACAACTTAAAATACTAGAATAAATCACCTTATTACCTAAGTGAGCTTCCAAGTCTTAATCTTTCCTATCTCTTCTCTCCTTCATTCCTCTCAAAACCTTATTATCTGTTTACATGTATGTAATCCATTCTTACCCACTCCAATTATTTAATTATAACTGATGAGCTAACAAGTCCCAAATATGCTTGTAGCTCAGCTGCCTCATCTGAAATTCAGACCTGCAGTGTATATACAAATGCTTACAGTACAGACCACTTAGAAGTCACAGAGGCATATCAAACCAAACACATCGGCTTTCTGCAAAACCTTTAATAAATCCTGTATTCCTTATGCCCCTGAAAACATCCCGTCTACACAACTACCCATGCCCATAATCTTCAGTTTTATCCTTAATTTCTTTCTCCCTTTCCCTCATTCTACAAATCTAACCTGTGAGTATATTATATCAATATTATCCATGCTATTATAAATATATTGTAAATCCTTGGCATTATTCCTAGCTCAGCCCTATTACTATTACTTTAAATTAAGTCATCTTTCCTGTCATATGTGGTTACATTAGCATACACCTTCTTTAAAAAAATACACCTTCTTGTCTCCCTTACTCTAGTCTCTCCCATCCACCCACCTCCATCTCACATTCCCCATGCCATAGACCTGGTGACTTCTTTAAGACACAAATCTCACTCCTCTTTCCCTTCTTTAAAGTCTTTCAGTGTTTCCCTTCTTCTGAGGTTAAGCTTCAACATGCTAGCCATGACCTGCAAGCCCTGAAAGATCTGGCCTCCTGGACTCTCCATCCTCATTTAAGAATACCCATCCCTTCTTGGTCTATATTTTGGTCGTACTGAATGTGTCTGCTTCTTTAGACATATCGTCCTTTCCTTCACCTCTGGGCCACCCTTCTGCCTGGAGCTGCACCCACTCCCAACCTGGCTACCCCCTCCTCATTCAGATCACACTCTACAAACTCGTCTCTAACCTACATCTCCATCCGGGTTAGATGCCCCTGCTGTGCAATGCCACAGCACCCTCAGTCTCTTAGACCATTACACTTAACCAATGGACATTGTAACTGCTCATTTATTTTCTCCCTCCCCACCAGCCTGTTTCTTCTGTGAGGCAATACGAATCTTCATGGTCACTGTTTTTCCAAAACCAGCACAATGGCTAGAACACAGTACAGTTCAAACATTACTTGGTGATTGGCTATATCCACACCCATGACCCTTAAAGACATGATTCTTTCTTTTATCTTCCTACACTGTGAAAACTGTGATAGTTCCCTTATAATTCCTTTGCCAGGGAAAATGTTGTCAACATTTTTCAGTTCATGCACACAGTAATATTTATGATGCAGTCACCAGTTAATTTTTAAAATATCAACTCTTTAATAGAGTTAATTATGTGTATAATATTGAAGGAAAACAATAACCAGGCCTTTGACAAAAGGGAAGACAATAATTAGGGTATTTATAATAATTGCTATAATCAGTAAATCTAGAAACAGCATCACACATTACTAAACTTTTAGTTAATAATAAATCAAAAAATACAGAAAATTACAGATTATCTCCCATAAAGTATAAATTAGTTTATGACTTTATAATAAAGTATAATAAATTACAGTCTGATCATCATTAACTATAAATGACAATTATCACTTTCATTGCTGTCTTATGGTTGCACAAAGGAAACCTTAATGGAAAAAGAGCTACAAAAGCTCCCTTTCATATACTTAAAAATCACACTGAAACAGAAAACTTATGTCTCTACTTTATACTGTGTCAGCATAAACTTACCATCTTCTCTTTTGTTCCAATAAAAATAAGCCACTCTACCCTCTGATAACTTTTGCTTTCCGTTTCATACACTTTCTCCCCCCTCCTCTACGCATAAACCACACCTTCTATACAAAGGAGTAAACACTGCTCACGCACCACCTCCTCCGGGAGGAGGTGGACACAAGCTATCCACATCATACTCAACTCCAGAGCACTTAACTTTTTATTACATTTCTACAAAGATCATTCCTACCCAGGGCCACTGCACACACATACGTGCTTTGAAATCCATTCGTGTGCTCATCGCACGGAGGAGGTGACTTTTCCTGATTAGCCTCACTGAAGCAGACACTGCTTTTTATTCTAATTTACACAAAGCTGTCTAAAAATTAAAATTACTCCTGTTTGTGTACACAGTTCTTCTCGACTGGAAATTTCCAATCTTTTTCATCTCATGGCACACTTAAACTAACTACTAAAATTCTACAGCACACCGAAAAAATGTATTTTTTATAATCTGTCAAAAAATAGGTATGATTTTGATTCATTCACACCAGAAGGCTATTGTCATTTTTTCTATTTAACAATTTAAGAGAAAAGAGGTCAGGGCCCCTGACTAAATAGTCAGGTGTTACATATCTTAAAAATTCTTGCAGCGTACCTGTCGCAAGTCACTGCTCCAGACTACAAAAACTTGAGAGGAGGCACTTCCATTTATATAACCTTTGGACACAATGTACATGTTGCCCTGGCTGGTGTAGCTCAGTGGGTTCAGTGTGGGCTTCAAACCAAAGGGTTGCTGGTTCAATTCCCAATTGGGGCACATGCCTGGGTTGCGGGCCTGGTCCCCAGTAGGGGACACATGAGAAGCAACCACACATTGATATTTCTTTCCCTCTCTTTCTCCTTCCCTTCCCTGTCTCTAAAGGTAAATAAATAAGATCTTTTTAATAACAAAAGTATATGTTGCACATATGAGTAAAATCATACACTCTGTCTGGGACCACTCACCAAATTGGACTCATTAGGCGGAATGTACTTCTCTGTTCCCATGCGCACAAGTCCGTCGTGGTACAGAAATATTTTTAGTGGATCACATGATGTTACCAGAATATAGATCCGTAAATCAAACTTGTAACCTTCCATCAGGAAAGGCTTGTCAATGTATTCCTGAACAATCAGATGATCCTGAGATGGCAGTTTGTCCCCATTTCTTATCAAAGAAATCCTAAGTTTAAAGAAAAAATCAGAAGAACAAAATGATATGGAGTCAAGATGTTTACAAAGTTAACAGATAACACTCAAGGAAAATGGCAGCAGAGATAACTCTAAATTCTGTCCCTTCACAAAAAGCGGTGACCACTAAAAACAAAAACTTATCAGAATCAACTTTTCTGGAATCCTGAAAACTAAAAGGTTATAAAAGAATGTAACAACAACAAAAGCAGCTGAATCTACGTAAAACAGCTTTCTGGCGGTTCAGCTTCCTCTGTTACCTCCCTAAGCCCCCAGCTCCCCAGTTCAGTGGTGGCCTTGGACAACAAACCGTGTTTCCAGTGCAGGTACTGGTTCTAGGGGGAGAAGACTAGACTCACTCTCATGCTTGTCTGTTTTTCAGACCTGCGTGGTGGCTCTTCTGCAGGATCTCTAAGGACTTGCTTTTACCTTGCCTACCCAGGAAGTCTCTCAGGGCTGAGGCAGCTACTTGGGAAGGCAATTATGGAGAATACCTAAAAGACAAATGTATTAGTCCCTGCTCTCTAGCACAACAAAATGACCACTGGGGAAAAACAACAATCAACTAAAAAGGCTGGGAGAAAAGTTTGAGGAATGAGAGTCTTTGAGGAACAGGACTTTGAAAAGTTCTGACATATTTCTGGGAATCCCAAAGTCCATGTGCATGCCTAAGGCAGGTGCCTGCTCAGAACAGACCTGAAAGGCCCGAAGCTCTTACCTCTGGCTAGCCATCAGGCCCTCCACAAGTAGGAAGGGGAGGCTAATGCAGAGTCGAAAGTTGCCTAGTTGAGTACAGGAGGCATGCTCCAATAGTAACACGCATACAGCCCGTCTGAAAAGACGGGCAATTTGTATTGAGGGGTAGGTTCAAAGTGTTTAAGAAAATCTGTCCAATTAGTAGCTGACCACTGACCTGACAGAAGAGGAACTTCAGTGTCCACGTACAACAAAGAATGAAAACTTTACAAAATTATATCAGAAAGCTACTAAACAAATAAACAACAACTATAATCATGAACAGAGACAAAAATATCCTACAGAAGGGAGAGAAGCTGATTTCCAGATTTGCTATGTTATAATATTCAAAATGTCCAGTTTTCAACAACAAAAAATGAGTCATGCAAAGAAAAAAGAATGACCCCTAAACAGAAAAGTTATCAATTAATAGGAACAGTTGTTCATAAGGAAACCCAGACAATGGTTTTACTGAACAATCAACTATTTAGATCTATTATTTTAAATCTGTTCAAAGCTAAAGAAAACCATGAGAATATTATATCACCAAATTGAGAACATCAACAGAAATGGAAATTATTTTTTAGAGGGTGGGAGAGAGAATCCAAACAGAAATTCTGAAGTTGAAAAGTACAATAACAAAACAAAAATTTCATTAGTGGGCTAAAAAGATCTAGGAAGGCAGAAAAAGAAACAAAACTTGAAGACAATCAATCAAGATTAACCAGTCTGAGGAACAAAAAGAAAAATGAACAGAGTTTAAGAGTTCTGAGGAACACCATCAAGAATACCAACACACACATAACGGGGTCTCAAAAGAACAAGAGAGGGAGAAATGGGCAGGAAGAATATTTGAAGAATTAATGGCTGAAGACTTTCCAATTCATAAAAACATAATAGCCTACACATCCAAGAAGCTCAATGAAATCTGAACAGAATAAACTGAAAGAGATCGACACTGATACATACAATCAAATTCTCAAAAGCCAAGGCAAAGAGTCATGCAAGTAGCAAGTTTAAAGCTATTTATCATGTCCCAGAGATCCTCAGTAAGACAAACCCCTGATATCATGAGAAAAACAATATAGGATGAAGACAGTAAAACAGCATATTCAAAGAGCTAACAGAAAAAAAAAAAAGAACTATTAACCAAGAATTCTACACCTGGCAAAACTATTTAAAATTAAAGAACAAATTAAGACAGTCCCAGATATACAACAGCTGAGAGAGTTGGCTGCAGGAGCCATTAAGGAAAATCCTTTGGGTTGAAACAAAAGGACACTAGACAGTAACTCATATCAAATACACATCACCCCTAAAGGTGACTCCTGGTAAATGTAAAAGTCACTATTCGTGTAGGTTAGGTTTGTAACACCTCATTCTTCTATAATATTTAAAACATGACTGTATAAAACAATATAATTGCAAATCTACGCCGATGGGCACACAGTGTGCATGATGTCATCTGCAACAATAAAAGGAGGCAGAGATCCACAGAAGCAGTTTTTTAAAAAAACTACTGAAGTTAAATTGGTATTAATCAAAACAAGACTGCTACAAATTGAGATGTTAATTGTAATCCCAGGGCAACCATTTAAAAAATCAAAAAGTTCATAGTAAAAAGTGGGAACCAAAACCGGTATACTAGAAAATTATTTAATACACAAGAAGATAGAAACAGAAGTATTGAGGAATAAAACCTATATATATAAAATATACAGACTTCTGCCAAGATGGAGGCATAGGTGGATGTGCCGTGCTTTCTCACACAACCAAGTTTAGAGATGATAAAATATTAGCAACAGAAAACACAGCCAGAACACAGAAAATTGAACTTTTCGCAAGTCCGTTAACAACGAATTCTTCAGCCTGACCGATAGACCAGCGAGGGAGTGGGCAGTAAGATGGGACCAAGCAGGTCCCAGCCACGGGAGGCAGCAGAGACGGCCACCATTTCCCGGCTCTGACCCCGCCCCCACATACAGCGTCACAACCCAGCAACCTGAGTGACCCTACCCTGGTGAACACCTCAGGCTTCGCTCCTCACCCAGTGGAGGGAAGCAGAAGAGGGGGAAGCCATTTCCCCACTCTGACCCCACCACCACACACAGCATCGCAAACCAGCAACCCCACCCTGGAGGCCCCGGCCCGCCCCTAAGGCTCCGCTCCTCATACTTAATGGGCGCAAAAAGACCGAAAATGGCTCAGGAAGATCTCAAAGCCCCAGAGCCCATAAATCTAAGTGACCAAGAAATAGCCAAACTTTCAGATGCACAGTTCAAAACACTGGTGATGAGGATGCTCACAGAACTGGTTGATTTTAGTCACAAATTAGAGGAACATATGAAGGCTAAACTAATTGAAATGAAGGGAAATGCACAGGAAACCAATAGCAATGGAAAGGAAAATGGGACTCAAATCAAAGGAGTGGACCAGAAGGAGGATGACCAACCAGAAAAGCATGAAGAAACAAGAATTCAAAAAAATGAGGAGAGATTTAGGGACCTCCAGGACATCTTTAAACACTCCAACATCCGAATTATAGGAGTACCAGAGGGGGAAAGGAACAGCCACCAGTGGAAAACTTATTTGAACAAATAATAAAGGAGAATTTCCCCAATCTGGCAAAGGAAATAGACTTCCAGGAAATCCAGGAAGCTCAGAGAGTCCCAAACAAGTTGGACCCAAGAAGAAACACACCAAGGCACTTCATCATTACATTAGCCAAGATTAAAATGAAAGAGAGAATCCTAGAAGCAGCAAGACATAAGGGGACAGTCACCTACAAAGGAGTCCCCATCAGACTGTCAGTGGATTTCTCAAAAGAGACCTTCCAGGCAAGGAGGGGCTGGAAAGAGGTATTCCAAGTCATGAAAACCAAAGACCTACAACCAAGATTGCTCTATCCAGCAAAACTTTCATTTAGAATGGAAGGGCAGATAAAGTGCTTCTCAGATAAGATCAAATTCAAGGAGTTCATCATCACCAAGCCCCTATTATATGAAATGTTAAAGGGACTTACCTAAGAAAAAGAAGATAAAAAAGATGAACAGTGAAAGGACAGCAAACTCACATTTACTAAGAACCACACCTAAAACAAAAGCAAACTAAAAGGACAGCTAGATCAGGAGCAGAACCATAGAAATGAAGATCTCATGGAGGGTTAGCAACAGGGGAGTGGGAGGAGAAGGGGGGAGAAGGTACAGTGGCTATACTAGTATCAAACAAAACAGGCTTTAAGATAAAAATTATTACAAAAGACAAAAGAAAGTATATAAAGATTTTTTTAAAGTCAATGCACCAATAAGATACAATAGACAAATAAGTAGCATAGACAGTAGGTAGAAAATAGATAGGGGGAGGGCAAGAATAGTATGGGAAATATAGAATCCAAAGAACTTGAGACACATGGTCATAAACTAAAGGGGGAGAATGGTAGGGGTGGAGGGTGCAGGGGGGAGGGGAATGAAGGGGGGAGTAGAACAACTGTAATGGCATAATCAATAAAATAAAAATTTAAAAAAGAACAAACTTCAAAAAAAATGTTAATTTTGTATCTGGAAAAAATATATACAGAACACAAATAGCAAAATGGCAGAAATAAACCTTTCCTTATCAACAATTACTTACGTACGAATGGATTAACTCTCCTATTAAAAAACAAAATTTGGCAGAAATGTATTAAAAAAAATCAACTACAGTCCAACTACACTGTCCACAAGAGATTTGTTTTAAAGTCTCAATTAGGTTGAAAGTGGACAAGTGAAAAAACACTTCATGCAAAGAGCAACCAAAAGAGATCTGAAGTGGCTATACTAGTATCAAACAAAACAGGCTTTAAGATAAAAATTATTACAAAATAAAGTATATAAAGATTTTTTTAAAGTCAATGCACCAATAAGATACAATAATTATAAATGTATATGCACCTAACAACAGAGCTCCAAAACATGTAAAGCAAAAACAGGTAGAACTGAAAGGAGACAACCCAACAATAACAGTTGGAGTCTTCAATACCCCACTTCCAGTAATAGAGAAGACAACCAAACAAAAGATCCACAGGGCAAGGGACACATTCCACAGACAACAGAGGCGTACTTGACCCATTCACTCCAATACAGGAGATAGACCCCAGCAGCCTGGTAAAAACAGCATGCTTTTTCAGCTAGCTTTTATACTGCTGTCAAATAAGACTAATACTTACACATAATGTTTTACCTGTAAGTGTGAATACATATAAATGTAAATTTTAATATTAATTTTAACATTAAAATTGAGAAAATGTGCAATTACACCACCCAAAATTTCCTTTGATACTAGTATACAACAAACCAACTGTACATTAAACTAAAATAAATTCCCACTAATATTACATGTTTAATTTGTTTAATTTTAAACCACAATTATAAACAATGTCTGATTAAATTATAATTGAAAGTTAAAGGAAAATTTTTTGAACAAAAATTTACCTGGAAGCTACAGTACCAATAACTTTTCCCCCACATTTTAAGCAAAAGATTAAAATAACTCATGTTTTTATTAAAAGCAGACTCAGCCACATCTTTTTTAAAGTACATTGCAGAAAACTAACATAAGTGAAAGGAAACAGGAATATATTATTCTGTAATCTATTCTCAGCTAACATGTCTGGTTCTTGGTATTTTAGCTCGATGTGTTCTCATTTACAATCCAATTACCATGGCTACATAAATATAAAAACTTATTCGTAAAGCAAAGATACATGTAAAAGTAACTCCCTTTCCATTTCTTTCTCCAAAGCAGTTTAGCTCAATGGTATCCACTAAATTTTATTCTTTAGGATTACTCCAAAATTATTATGAATGCAAATTTTATATTTAAAGAATAGAAAACATCTTTTTTTCCTTCTATTTTGTTGTTTCCTATTAAAGTTTTACGACCTACTGGTTTAATTTTTAAATTGAATTACCAAAGCCTGTAGGGCAGGGTAAAAGGACTCATTAAATATCTAGTTCCAAAAAAGCAGTAGCTAGAAACCTATGTATTGTATTTTTCATATTAGTTCTCAACCAGGAGTGAATGCTCACAGCTATTCTCCCCAATCTCCATTTTTTAAAAATATATTGCAGGTGAACAATACCTACCCATGACCCATTGCACCATTAGCTGGTTTCACTATAAAAGTTTTCTGCTTTCTTTTTTTCTTCAATTCTTTCATATAGTTCTGGAACTGAGTATATTCAGCAGGGAAGATCCATGTTCGAGGAACAAAGGTATAATCCAGAGGCCGTGACTTGATCATTCTGTAAGTTAGAGCTAATATTACAATAATTTCTATTCAAACTTTTCTAAATCTTCTTTCTGTGATACTGACATTTACTAGAAGGATTTAAATCCCTCTATTCATTTTTGGATTTATTCAGCAAATGTCTATTAAGTATCCACTATGTGCTAGGCAATATTCTAGACATGGGGGATACATCAGGGAAAAAAACAGGCACAGTTCTCTGGCCTGGTTACTAATTTTCATATTAGCAGATCAAACATATTTGAGTATATACTATATGCTAGTCACTGGGGATATTAAGTTAATATGGTCTCTTCCTTAAGGAATTTACATGCAGGTTATTAATTAAACATAATGTGATAGGTGTAATAAAGGCATATAATTCAAAATAATGTGGAAAGTGTCACTAACTCGGCCTCAAGAATGGGGGTGGGCAGCAGGAAATGGCCCATGGCCAGGTGCCATTTATGATGCTTCTTTAAAGACAATTTATAGCCTTTGCCTCATCCCTCGCAGAGTTCTGATTGCCTCTCACTCCAGTGTTTCTGTAGTTTAACTCCTTTTCTGAGAAAACTGTGAAGCCTTGAGTCAGTAAAGGTTTTGTTTACATGAGCTATATGTGCTTATGCACGTGGTTTCATGGCTTCAACATATGTCCTAATATTTTTGTATTTGCTACAAACCAGGCTGCCTATTTGATACATAACTTAAAGGCAAAACTATTTAAAATGTTTGCTTTTGTGAATTCCAAATGTTAACTATTTTGTATATATTGATTCCCAATAAAAATGAATTAGGAAAAATATTTTTAAATATCTATTCAAGAAAATCTTATTGTTTCAAAAAAGGCTTTAAATTTTATAAGCATATGCAAGTGTTTTATATATGAGCAGATATTGTCCCCAAATAAAATTTGCAAAAAACTAAAATGGAGCCATAGTATACAATAGGCAGAGAGGCCTAAATTCTAAGACTGGGAGTTTGGAATACTTAAAGCACTTGGCCTCCTCAAGTGGAGGCTCTTACAGTTACCATAGTTCAAACATTCCTTCAGGTGAACCATGTAAAAAAGTTATGTTTTCATTATAAGGAGGGATACAATTACCAATTCTATGTGTCAAACCCAGAATAATCAACAAGCTAAATAGTCTTGGTTTAAAACAGGCTGACATTGGCTGGTGTGAAACACATCGAAAGGAAGCACGGTAGCAATGCTAATGCCTCTGTTTCTATTTCCTAAGCCTTTCAACATACTTATTATATTTTTAACAATGAAATAACATTAGATCGAGCTAAAGCTTTAATTAGTTTGAAATGATCAGATCGTATTTTTGAATAACATTCTTTCAAATATATTTGGAAAAAATTAAAGTACACATATATTCAAGAGAAATACTTTATTACATTTAGGTAATCTAACACAAATCATCTGATGTAAAAATGTGCACCTTCAAAAGAGAGATTTGGTCTTGCATAAAAAGTTGGGGATCTGGCATAATTTCTGCTCATTGCTCTGTCACGGATTTACTAAATTATATTAAACACATGACTTATACAACTATTCTTATATTACCAGGTCAATTTTTCTAGAAGATTATTTTTTCCTTAAGGAGAATTCCAAGGATCTATAGAATGAGAAATTGCCCTTTTGCAATAGCCTACTATATTCTTTACAAAGCAGCCACAATGACTCTTTCAAATAGCAAATCTGATCACATTACTAACCTCATCACCCTCTCCTCTTCTTTGGCACTTTAGAATAAAACCCATAATCACTCTTCAGCTAATCTCTCTCCCACCATCAAAATTTCTGTGTTCCAACTACTCTTGGCTTTATTTCAGTAGCTTGACTATTCATGCTTTCTCTTACCACATGACCTTGGCCCATGCTGCTCTTCCTGCCCAGAGGCTGCTACCTGCCATCTTCACCAGTAAACTTGCACTCACCATTTATACTTCAGCTTCCACAGCACTTCAGAAAAACTCTCCAATGCCTCCTTTAGTTTGAAGTCCTTCGCTACACACTGATTTAGAACTTTGTCACGCTTACCACATAGTTGCAATCCAAAGTTGTAAAAGCCATAAGTCTCCTTCTGTACCCAGAGCCTAGTATTTATTTATAAAATATTGTGTATTTAGTCTTATGTGTTTAAACTTCAGTCACCTTCCAAGTACTCTCCATTTGATACAATGCACCTATCAAGACAGTTTTTCCACTGCTCAAAGCAGTTTCTGAACTTGTTAATTCTGACACATTTAGTGCTTCTGCGTGGGCAAAACATTTCCCTCTGAGGATTTTTTTCGCCCAGGAAAACAACAAAAAAAGAAAGTCACTTAGGGTGAAATTAGGTAAATACGGAGGGTAGGGCACCATGGTCGTGCCATGTTTGCTCAAGAACTGCTGAACACTCAGAGCAGCATGACCAGATGTGCTGATAAATCATCCATCATGAAACGGTGCATGAAACGCACTAAAAGAGTATTATAAAAGAATTCACTGAAGCTGAAGGCAACCTGACAACAATGGCAGCTGGTACACTGATACAGGTAGGTTCCCAGAACACTATCCTAGCAGGGGATTACTGTACTACCAAAGACCCGCCCTCCAGAGGATAATTCCAGTTTCTTGGGGGTGCCCCCTTGTATTTAATAAATATGTATTAAGTGAAAATAAATGACTTAAATGAAGTACATATTCAAAACTTAACAGAGGTAACTCCCTTTCCTCTTAAATACATTCTTTCTGCATTTCCTATGTTAACAAATTATAATGCCTACATGAAATCCTAAGCCAGATACCTAGGAGTCATCCTGGAAACTTCTCTTTCTCCCCTTTATTCTCACATCATAGCAGTTTTCAAGTTCTATAAACGCTATATCCTTCATATTGGGTTGGCCAAAAAGTTCACTTAGCTTTTTTTTTTTTTTTTTCAGTAAGATGACAACTAAAATGCAAACAAAGATTTGTGCAGTGTATGGAGAAGGTGCTGCGACTGTTGGAATGTGTCAAAGTGATTTGCAAAGTTTCTTGGGACTATTGACATTGTGGCCAAATAATCCTTTGCTGTGGGCTGTCTTATGCATGGAAAGGTTTTCAGCAGCAGCCCTGACCTCTGCCCACTAGAAGTCAATAGCGGGAGATAGCCAATGTACTCAAAATGTCCAAACCAACGAGTTATTGATGAAAATGAAAAAAAAATGTGTCTTTTATTTCACGGAAAAAAAAAACTAAAACTTTTTAGCCAACCCAGTATTTTCCAGATTTATTTTCTCTTCCCCATTCCCACTCTATCTCCTGTTTGGCTTATTAGCTGCTCATTAATTCTCACCTGGATGTTCACAAGCATCCTCTCCAGGGCTTTCTCCCTCTAGTCCTACCTTCATCAAACCTGTTGTCTATATTGCCATCAAGATCATCTAAAACACATATTTCTCTCTTTAAACCTATTAAATAACTCCTTATTTCTCTCAGGATAAACAGAAATGTCTGTGGAGTAAAGAGATTAAAGAACACATGATTAAACAGAAAACAATGACGCGGCACGCACAGCCTGCCTGTGCATCATCGCCGCCATCATCTCAGGCTGGCTCTCCTTACTCCCCGTACAACCACAGGAACTGCATCAAGTTCCCCAAACACATCATGCTGTGTGGGTCTCTCCTGCTGCTGTCTTTGCCGTCAGTCCTTTGCCTTCTTCTCAAAGGGTGAAATCCTGACGCTCGTCAATGCCTGTCTCATATTTACGCACCTTCTCAGGAAGCCTTCCCTGCTCTCCCAAAAACCCCTCCCATTACCTTTGTCACGACCGTACATGGACTTGACCTCTCATGCGGCACCACCCAGCTGTACTGTGTCAGCCTTCCTCCCTTACTAGAACGTGCGCTCTAGGCAGGGAGCAGGCCTTATTTATCTTGTATACTTCAAGATAAATAAGGGCATAAAATAGACATGCAGAACTATTTGTTGAATGCTAGGCAGACACTTCACCTTATTTATCTTGTTTACTCCAAAGCTAGTAGTCTCTAGAGGCTAAAATAGACATTCAAAAATATTTGTTGAGTAAATGGATGTATAAACTTTCACATGGATATATGCAGAAATTTCTTGAATTGCATACACAACTTTACTAACCTTTCTCTATGAAAGTGATCACTTTTTAAAGTTATTTACTCCATTTATCACTCGATTTTCTTAAACTAAAAAAATGTAATCAACGGAAATATAAACTGCAGGAAAATTCTACAGTTCATTCAGTACTTGAGTACCTGTGAACAGTTTTTCCCATGAAGGCAGATTGTTACTCTAAACAGTGGTCTCAGAAATATATGTGCATGTATATCCTCATGTGGGCATAGACGGAGGGGCAAAAGTAGGTGTACAGTTGTTTATATGAAATATTATACAGTAATGAACAAACAGTGCAAGAATAAACTGTCTTGCGTACTCACAACTGTAAACCTATGTGTGCCTGACCCTGTCTGTTCATAGTCTAGGTGTAGGTGTGCACACACACGCCCGCTGCAGTGCCTGGCACCTATCAGACACTCAGTAACCAGTATGTGAACACACATATGTACACGGGGCAATAATGCAATGAATTAGTTCGTGCAAGGTTTAACTGAAAATGAATAAGTACATATTGAATAAAAAGTAGAAAGAACCCTGAGATTGTGGAAACCAAGATCCTGATCCGTCTCTGCTGTTGATGATGAGTTTCACTTTGTGCAAGATGTTGCTCTGACCTCTAGTTACTGCCTTCCCAAAGTGCAGGAGAGAATCAGAGAACTTTTAAGAACTTCCTAGCACTAAAATGCTCTCTCTTCCATCAAAATATCATTTCAAATCAATGTGACTTTGTGAAAGACAGCAGTGTAATATTCAAAATGTAAATTTCTAACAGAACTATTCTATTATAAGAAAATAAAGATTACTTGGTCATATTTCTTGCTAAGAAATCCTTCCTACAGATCTCCCCCATTCCTGGGAAGTGGTTGATCCTCTGGAAAATAAAAAGGTAAATGTTAATATTCTCAATGACTTAATGAATACATTTATTTATAATATAGTTACCACCAACCTTTAAGTTTTCATGCCTTAATAAACAAACAGCTATTAATGTAATATATTTAAATTAAATGACCTATAATGAATTAAAGAATCTATAGTAATCAGAGAATAAACTTGTATAACTTTAAAGAAATCAGAAAAGGGTGCTCACATATACATTATAATTTCCTGTGTTGAGTAACTGGTAATTCATTGTTGAAATAACTTTTGGCATTCTGGATTTACTATATTCATATTAGATAAGCACTGCATAAAAACTGGTAAAAAATGGACTTATTTGTTCCCTATAGTAAAATCTGTATTACCATCCAAAATAACAGATGAAGAACTATACAAATGTCAACTGTCTAAAATTCTATGCATTTGACTTTTTAAATTTAAGTTTGTGTCAAATCCCAAACATAAAAGAAAGAAGCCAGATACACAACTGACATTACAAGGTATTTCCACATGATGGTCTCTCTATGCGATCTATTCCGCATCGCTCATCTGTAAGCATAATGCACAACACCGGTATAGGAAAGTTTACTGCTATCAATTCTTACTGAAAGATGGAAAGATGTTACATTCACATCTGAAAGGATGCAGGCTTCATGTTGAGTCAGTACAACTGGGCAGCAACAAAACAGGCTATTCGGGAAAGTTAGGACTGAAATTTAATATGTCAACTTATTAAGAACCGTATCTAAGGAAAAGTATCAGGGAATTCACTCAGCTTCCCTGATGGCCAGTGATGGGTCAGATTAATTCCCCACCTGGTAATTTTGCAGCTCTGCAATCTTCTCCTGCTGAACTGCAGAATCACACCATATAAGGTTACTCGTTTCATCCTCATCTGGAGTTTTCAGAAATCCCATTTCATCTATCACTAAACGAACTGCAAGTAAATGATGAAGTTAAACCAAAATTAAAATACCTCAGCAATATTATTCAATGGGAAAACATTTTTTGATGTACATATATAAATTTTAGCTCAAAGTTTTTCATTGGGAAAATATCCATTAGTTATAGCATAAGCTTATTTTGAGTTACAACAATTTATCTAAGGCCAAATTATACTTGAAAGTAACTGCGAATGGTTTTTAGGTTGCACCCAAAATCCTTAGCTTCGAGTCCCTACGATTTAACAGGTACACAACACTGTTAAACAGGTCAGTGATTATTCATGGCACAAAAAAAAAACCACATGCACAGCCGAGACCACACCTCCATCAGGAAAATGTACTTCCGTGCCTTTTGCATGACCTTTTGCCAGGTACGAAAGGGGTAGGGGGGAAGGGAAAACAGCCCCTGACCATTACATATCATGAGACCTAAGCTATACTTTCTACCTCCTTAGTTCAAATTATTTTTAGCAGTTAAAATCAAGTCAGCATGTTGATGAAGAATACAAAATAATAAAGCAGAATTCACTGCACATATTGGAAAACTGGCTCTCTTATCTGTCCCACATTCTCTAATATTACTGAAAAGAATTTATGCTCAGAGGAAAGCTTGCTTTTTAGTACAAACTATAAACTCTTCTTTGATTTAGATATCATAATTGATGTATTGGTATTTTCTTCCAATAAATTTCAAGTTCGATCTAATCTATAATAAAGATAAGCAAAATACTTAGGATGAATTTTGGGTCCCAACAAAATTCTAACTACACAGCAGTGCTTCGGTGTTTTATTTTTAAATGTTTTACTGGTATCCAGTATATGAGGAGAAATGATAAAAAGCCACCAATAGTCTGAATTATTTGGCTCAAGCATGTAACTGACGAGCAAACACCTGTTGGTCTCAAGTCCTGGGAACTCGTATTTGTTTCTTGGCTGAGGAAAAAAAGAACTTTTTCATGCAACAGTGCCTAGGACACAGGTGTAAAGGAGGGCAGTGACAGGAGGTGGACAAGGCTGGGAAGGGGGTTGCCAGGCTGACGTTGCTGTGATTCATAACAGGCTCAGTACAACTCGGGTTGTTCTGATGGCCCAAGTGACAATGTCCGAGGTTTTGGGAAAAGGGCTTGTCCTCTACCACAAACCACCAAGCAGCTCTAGTGTCCTACGGGCTCAGGAGCTGCTGTGCCCCCTAGAGTTCGCAGGGAGGGTGGGTGCCCCACAGCCTGGGAGACTCCTGGCTCACTGGCCAAAAGCAAAGATGAGGCCAGAACAGCATCTCTGGAGCAGACCTGTTCCTGAGTACGAGACATACTGTCTGGGCCCCTCAGGAATAATTGGCAAGGCCTTCATGGGAGAAATGGAACCCGAATCAACATGAAGAATACTAATGCAACTTCGGCCCTCTGAACGCTTCCTGGGAAACTGAGACAGAACTGCATTTAAACACTCTCCTTTCAGTCAAGGTTTCCTATGAACCCCATGAGAACTTTAAAAGTGAAAGGATAAGTTGACACCACCCATCAATCACCTTTACAATGGACACCTTACTCTTGCTTTTTCACTCTGGAAAATAGGCTGAAATAAACGCTGAACCTCTCACATCTCACCCACTCACACCAACCTACTTAAAGTCTTTGCCTCTGAGGAACACCTGTGGGATAGAGCAGCAACTTTCAACCAATGTGCTGTGGCGCACTGGTGTGCTGCAAGAATCGTTAAAACATGCAAAGCTTTTACTATTTAGTCAGGGGTGCCGGCTTCTTTTCTGTTAGATTGTCAAGTTTAAAAAAATGACAACAGCCAACACAATATCCATCCGGTGCAAATGAATCAAAATTATACCAATTTTTTTTGTCAGATCGGCCAAAACTATAACATATTTTTGGTGTGCCACAGAATTTGAGTAATTAGTTTATGTGGGCCATGAGATGAAAAAGGTTGAGAACAGCTGGAATAGAGTATTAGAGAACCTCAATTGCACTGAAGTATTCCATTGATTGTTGATGAGCTTCAGTGAATTACTGGAAATAAAACTGAGATTCTCAATGATTAAGAAGGGTAAAAACATTAACATCCTTGGATTTCATATGATTTTCCTCAACTCTTTTAATACAAAATAATTAAGTAAAGAGGAATATTATTTGAGTACTTACTTCTTATTGATAATGAGTTTTGTGACTGGGCAAAAGTATCTTGATTTCAAGTAATAAATTCCTCTTATCTGTTCTCTACACTGCAGATACTATTTACACATGAAAATTAGAATTTCATTAGTAAGTAGCAATAGCGTGTTCAAAAAAAATTTTTTTAAGATTTTTATTTATTTATCTGTAGAGGGGAAGGGAAGGACAGAGGGAGAGAAACATCAATGTATGGCTGCCTTTCGTGCGTCCCCTGCTGGGAACTGGCCTGCAACCCAGGCATGTGCCCTGACTGGGAATCGAACTGCAATTGTCTGGTTCACAGGCCCACGCTCAATCCACTGAGCTACACTAGCCAGGGCTCAAAAAAAATTTTTAAGAAAGAAATGTGTTTTTATTCTTTAAGGTAGGTACTCTTTGTTTAATAAAAATCTAAAATATATACTGTTCATTTTATAGTTAACATTTTAATCTGTTTAATGCTCATATTACTTTAGACTCAATTTTAACATTAAGTTTAATCAAAATCCCACTAATAACTAAAGTTTTTTAGTTTATACTCATGTTTTATTTGATTATCAACATTTTAAATATCTCACAAAAATTTTTAGAAGGCATTTAAAACTACATTCATAAAGGAAGATCATCTCTCTGAATTTCTACATTGTTTTCAACATCATATTAGTTTTGCCAAGAAGTATGGAAATCTCATGATTCTTAGGAGACCTACCAATTTCAAACTTTGTCCCGGCCACATTTGCTGTGATTATTCCCTTCTTTTTCTTCTTTGTGACTTTCCTTTTCATAGTGCTTTCATAAGACAATTCTGTACTCAGATCCAAGGGAGAGGGTCCCTGAATAACTTTAAAAGAAATGTAAACCAACAAAATATCACTGAAATAACAAAAATCCCATACCAGCAAACACAAATGCCCTCCCCCCAAATGTAAAATTTTAAGTTCTAGTTCTTAAGAGTCCCCAATGAACTTTTCATTCCTAAAAATAATCAGCAGTGATGCTCTATATTTATATTTTGCAATGTGATTAAGTCAGTCTGCTTACCTCTTTCCTGAGGCAGAGATGGCATTATTGCTTGTGCCGATCAGCAAGCGGCGTGTCTCTGTACCAAGCCCAGGCAATCTGGACGGCCTACATGAGTCTAAGTAGGATATGGCTCTGAACCACTGAAAGTGCCTATCATGTTATCTTGGTGGAGTACTCAGATTTCAGGGCAGCGAAGTTATGGGAAAAGAAGATATCTGTAGGGGTTTTAAAACAAAGTCACTTAGAAAAAAGCCTTTGATGAACTATTTTGACATCTGCCAATACTATTCTTTTTAAAAACCAAGTAAAAATGAAAGTTAAGGTAATCAATTGACAAATATTAATTTATTAAACTTTATGCTAAATGCCAAGTGATGGTTCCCTGTCCTAAAAAGTTCAGTTTAGAGGCAGAGGTTTTAAGTCATGTATCATATTTACATACAATAACAAATTCACTACCATTTACTAAACACTTACTTAGGTCACTGACACCATTTAACCTTTCAACAAAACTACGAGGTAGAAGAAGCTTCTATCCCAGTCTTAGACACAAGTAAATTGAGCACAGAAAGGAGAAATCTTTACAAAGAAAGTAAGTGATGAAATGGAGATTAAAATGAACATCTCTCTGATGTCAAAGCCAGTGGAACCCTGAACAACCTTCAATCTAATGCCATGAACTTATGTTCTTTGAAAATGAAACAGTAAGTGTCAGGGAGAGGCCACATGCTCTCACACACACACACACACACACACACACACACGCGGACACACTGGAGTGTGTGTGATGGGGACGGGGGGGCAGTAGACTTCATAAAATAAACCACATCTGAATTGTGCCTTTAAAAAGAAAAACAAGTATGAGACACAGAAAACAGGGTGATTCATTATGATGACGACCTTATTTGGGCACACAAAGGAATGAAATAACCATTTTTTAATGAATGAATTCATTTGATTTGGCTACACCCCAACCTGCCTTGCATTACACTTCACTTAGATATTTGTTGTGCATCCATGCACACAGGTACTTATGCTTTTACTATACTTTACTGCCTAGTCTATACTATCAGCTTTCTAATTTCTCCCTTCAAATTGTAAGAATCTTTGAGTCCTTGAAACATGCCTCTAAACATAATGAAAAAGCATAAAACCTTTTATGATAAACAAAGGCATGCATCAACACCTTTATCAGGAGAGCATCAAGTTTATTAGAAATTCTGAAACATTCAGAAATTCAGCTACATAAAATATGTCTCATACACATCACCTCAAATAGTAATTATTAATAAGATTTACTGTTTTAAAATTTTTGAGCTTAATTTGTTCTCGGGTATCATTTTTGCTAGAATAATTCACTAGAATAATTCTCTAGAATAATTCAATCTCAAAACTATAGAAAGATTATTTGTTACAGACCAACTGTGGGCAGGTACTATGTTAAGAATCTAAACTATCTCACCTCATTAACAAACCTGCAACTTAAGTATCATTTCCATCAGTTTTCCAGATATGAAAACTAAGGCTGAATAAGTTAAATAAATCAAGGTAACAGCTTATAAATGGAAACCCTAGGCTTTGAATTCTGCTCGTCCTATCCATCTAATTCGCTAAGCCCCGCTATCTTCAGACACCATACTAGCATGTCATACAGATATAACAGAAGTTTGTGGCCCTACTGTTGTCCACACTACTAATATGGGTGTGTTCTGGGAACTCACGACACTAAAAACAAACAGTGAAATGAGAGCGAATATCCTGATCTCACCTCCCAATTCCAAGCTGGAAATAGACTAGATTTCGTCTCAGAATAAAAGCACGGAAAACTCTAAAGTTCAGACTGATTTCTTTTTGGAAGCTCTCTGATACCCCAGGGAGGCAACTATTTGAGTTTACAAATCCTTGTCCAACATCTTGTTACTGGAGTAAACAAAGATCCTCTTATGGTAACAGAGTACTTATTACAGTGAAAGTAGGTGACAAAGTCAACAAGAGTCTGAGAACAATTTTGCCTAACTATATAACAATAAATTAGTATTTATTATAGGCTCTAAAAATATATCTGTTAATTTCTGACAAACAAAGAGTCCTAGGACTCTGATCTGCATTGAGCTCAAAGGAAGAACTATTATCCCTTCCCTCAACCACGCAGGAATTTAAAGGCCTTAAAATTATTCTATTCATATACTTGTACATGCTTTCATTCCACTTACGGTCTGGTGAATGGCAATTACAGTGCTTTAACAAAGTCAAGGACTTGATTCTACCATCCCAATTCTAGTCATTCCACTTTATTCTAAGGAGGAGACTTGAGATGGCAGATTGATCATACCACTCAGATAAGCCACGGTTACCTACTTTCCAAAAATGGAAAGCATGTTTCAGTTACTTCCGAAATACTTTAAACCAATGGCTTCTTCAGCTTAACTGCAAAGTCAAATCACCTGAGGAGCTTTTAAAAATCCTGGTGCTGAGGCCGCACCCCAGATGCAGGTGGGGCCCAGGCATCAGCATTTGAAGGCTCTCCAGAGACTCTAGTGTGCAGCCAAGGCTGACAACCTCTGCAGTAAGCACCTTATGGTACTGAAGCAAATATACACATACAAAATGACAAGGAAGAAACTAAAGAACAAAACTCTTACATTAAAAAAGGTCAGAGAGGCTGAAATCACCTATAAAAGCTTCATGTCTAGTTCAAATAAACAAGTTGGGAAAAAAATAGAAGATCAATAGACACTAATTTCTAAGACAAAGAATCAGTATTATTTTGCAAATAAAGAAATTATTTCCAGCCATGGCTGGTGTGCTCAGTAGATTGAATGCCAGCCTGTGAACCAGAGGGTCGCTGGTTTGATTCCCAGTCAGGGCACATGCCTGGGTTGCAGGTCAGGTCCCCATTTGGGGGCATGTGAGAGGCAACCACACATTGATGTTTCTCTCCCTGTCTTTCTCCCTCCCTTCCTCTCTCTCTAAAAATGAATAAATAAAATCTAAAAAAAATTTAATTTTAAATAGGAAACTATTTCCCAAAAAAAATCAATTTTCAAAAATTTCAGACCAATGGTAACTTTGAATGTAAAATTTCAAGTGCCACCACGCGAAACGATAGCTACACCAGACTGAAACAACAGTGAAGCCTGCTGGAGCACACGTCTTCCCATCTGAATTTCCACTGCACTTCTACTCGTCATTTAAAGCCCAAGAAAATTTCTACTTTTGCCTTCCCCTAAATACGTCTGAATAAATTCACATCTCCCTGTTCTGGTGTATTACAGAGATTGTTATTTGCACCCTTATTGTCTCGCCAACCACGACCCAGGAGGGTGAGCTCCATGACAGCAGCAGTTTTCTTCCCTCGCCCTCACTCCTCCACTCAGAGGCCTGAACAGTGCCTCACACCATGCTCATCAAGCACTTGTACATGAATTTAAAAACCAACCAAGTAATTAACAGTAGCTGAAAATAAGGAGAGGTGGTCATGGAGTTGTGAGAAGCAAATACATACCACTTACAATATATTACTTTTACATTTTTAAGTGAAAAAAGTAAAGCACATGAAAGTTTACATTTGGAGAAAATGATAGAAGAAGGTAAGGAATACACGCACAGCATGGCAGTGGCCCGCTGTGGCTGGGGGCGGCGCAAGGAACATGTAGTTTTATGCACACCCTTCAGTGCTCTGCGCATGGTGGAGACAAATTCAGGAAGTTAAATGTGTGCGATAGAAACCTGCACCAACATTAACATGGTAGTAACAAAAACCATCAAATGTTGTGTTTCATTTATGTGAAAGTATCGTATGGTGGAAAGAACACTGAACAAGAAGTCACTTTGAATTATTATCCCTTACTCTGCCACTTAACATCTAGATGATTTGATTTCTTAATGTGCAAGAGGAAAAATTGATTCTTTCCAGCCCTAAAGTCTAAGGTGACAATCCATGAGGATAGTACTGTTGATATTTTTGACAACAAGCAGAAGACGAAACATCTTTTGTGTACATCACATGAGGGAAACAGACATTCCCAAACAATCCCTGCAAATCCATGCCCTGGTGAATGCTATTTATGGGCTTTTTGAAACATTTGTAAAATTCTGTGTACCATAGATTACTAAAACAATCTAACAGAAAGCCAGTGGGAACCAGAATTAGGGCTAAATTGAAAATATATAAAATAATAATAAAATTAAAATGTAATAAAAGCTGTTTTTATATTGAGGAGGGAAAGGAAAAGAGAGCCAATATAAATGAGTACCTACTGTGCACTAGGCATTTTCACATAACTGTATATTTAACCAGCCCAATCAGTGTCCCAGTACATGTTATTCCAATTTTACAGACTGAAAAATTGAGGCTCTGTGGTTAAGTCACTTACCCAAAGTCACACCTAACAGGAGCTGATGAAATGGTTTGTTTCTAAAGCCTAATTAATATTATCCCTTCCCACTAATTAATATTATCCCTTACTCTTTCACTTACCATCTAGATGATGTGCTATCTTCAAAATTCAGTCCTTAAACTTTCACAAAGAACTTTAATTCTGCTTGACTGGAACTATTTTATAAACTACAGAGTGAGAGCAAGAGAATCAAACTATGTTTTCAAATGTGATTGAGATCACAAAGTTGCATCAGATTTAATCTCTCTTCTTGGAACACCTGGGCTTTACATACCCAGATGGTGGTCCTGGTTCTCCTTCATGAAGGTACTACATTCGAGTCAACAAATACTATTATATATCAGGCCGATTGTCCATGAACAAAATGGATCAATATTTCTTTTCTTCATGGCATTTGCATTGTGGTGGAGATAGAGACAAACAATAATAGTAAACATATAAACAAAAACAAGTAAACCAAAGAAAATGCTAAATCCTGTGAAGGGGTAAAAAGAGCTGGTTAGGAAATTAGGAGTTTGGGAGGAAAGGAAGAAGAGATGCAGTTTTAAATACTGTACACCAATAGGCCTGAGGGGAAGGTGACATTTCAAGATGGGTAATGACTGGCTGTCGCAAGGAGAGTTGATAAAAATACGAGGTCTGTCCAGAACAAGTCCAGCCACTGAAAATACAATGAGAACAGTTTGCACAACATCAGTGTAACCTGGCAGCGAAGGAAAGTGGACTGGAATGCACGTATGTGAACAATGGCAACCTCACTGTACCAGTCAGTGGGGTGGTAGGTGCCATTGAGTGAGCATGTGTACTGTGTGGCT